GTGCTGCGGGCGTTGCCATGGCAGCGGGCGGAAGCGGAAGGCGCGCGGGGCTGATGGCGGCGGCGGGGGGCGCGGAGCTGTGGCGGCGGCTATCGGCATGGTTACCCCGGGGCCGCCTGGGCCTGGCCGCCCTCCTCGGTCGCCTCTCCGACCGCTTCTCCCGTGGTCGAGACCGACGCGCCCGGAGGTAAGGAGCACTGAGGATCCGGGGCCTGCCCCCGGGGGTCTGGGGCCTACCCCGGGCCGCGGTGTGTGGGAGGCCTCGGGGGGGGTTTCTCGTAGTTTGTGGCTGACCGAACCCGTTAGAAACAGGCCCTGCCCCCCGGCTCTCCGACCCTTTGCCGGTTTTGGGGGGTCGCCCCTCTCCCCCCCCGCCCCCCCCCCCCCCCCCCTCTCTCGGCTTCTCCCGTAGACGCGGTGTCTGTTTCCACAGTGATTCAGCCGCTGAGGGAGTGGGTGAGGGCTGGTTCTGCTTCTTAACCCGGCTTTAGGTCTGCGCTGCCTGTGCCTTTGTCCTTAGGACATGAGGTGTGCGTTATTTCCTTCTGTCAAGACAGGCTGAGAGAGTTGGGGGGTTCAGTCTGGAGAAGAGAAAGCTCCGGGGAGACCTTAGAGCCCCTTCCAGTCCCTAAAGGGGCTCCAGGAGAGATGGGGAGGGACTCTGGATCAGAGAGGGGAGCCATAGGATGAGGGGAAATGGTTTTACACTGAAAGAGGAGAGATTCATGTGAGATCTCAGGAAGAAATTCTTTGCTGTGAGGGTGATGAGACCGTGGCCCAGCCTGCCCAGAGAAGCTGTGGCTGCTCCATCCCTGGAGGGGTTCAAGGCCAGGTTGGAGGGGGCTTGGAGCAACCTGGTCTGGTGGGAGGTGTCCCTGCCCAGGGCAGGGGGTTGGTCTGGATGGTCTTTAAAGTGTTTCCACTGTCGTTTTAAATAGATCCAAGTCGGCTGCTGTGGGAAGGAGAGGGCCTTCATTCCCCTTCCCACAGCTTCTTCCTGACATCTCCCTTGCACTGTGCAGTGAGCTGACCTCTGAAAACTGCCCAGGCTCTCCCTTTCCTCTCTGTCCTTCCCCGGGGATCAGAAGGGACGGGGAAGGCGCAGCTGTTGGGGGGTGGATCTGCCCTTCTCGGGGCCAGGCTGGCTGTGTGCCGTGCCAAAGGGAATGCACAACCTCAGACTGCGGTTCCTCCAGTCACTGTTTCTGCAGCCACGCTGCCCTGAACAGCTTCTCTTCTCCTTAGTTTTGCCACTGCAGCTTTAGTTTTGCTGCTGTTTTTGTGGGGCTGTGTGATCAGGAGTACAAGTTGTGCGAAAACCAAAACATTAAAAATACGAGATGGTTTTCTTTTTGTAGAGCCTGGTTTCAGAAGCGATCAAACAAAATGCTTTGAAGAAGTCTTTGGAAAAAAAAAAAAAAATCTTTTACACCTCGCAGTCTTTTTAGGCATCACTTTGCATTGTACTTGGTAAGAGTGCAGCAGATCTCTGCAGTCGTCCTCGCTGGCGTCTGGGAGCCCCGTCTCAGCCCCTGTTCTGCTGTGTGCTCTTGGTTAAGCAAGGAAATTCTTTTCAAACTTTTCTTTTTGGTTTCGGGGGTGGTTTTTCGCATAGAGAGATAAATTACTAGACTGAGCCCTGGAAGGAGGCAGCCGAATTCAAAGAGAAGCAATTTGTGGATCCCCCTGTGTGGTGACGTCTGCGTGGGTGAAAGGACGGCACCGGATCCTGCAGTTTCACTTCACCTCTGGTTCTGCAGATGAGGTTTTACAGTGAATAAGGGTGTTTCAGCTCCATCATGAGTTTGTGTACCAAAACCACAGTTTTTAAAAATAGAACACAGACGAAAAATCCCTGGTTTATATTTAGGGTCAACTTCTTATGCAGAAAAGATTTGAGGTGGTTCCTTTTAGTTCTGTTTTCTCTTTCTGGTTAACGTGATGATGTGAAGTACATGGGAAGGGCTCCCTCTGCCCCATTTTCTGTTTCTCTGAAAGCTGGTTTGTCAAAGTGTGGAATTTTGACGATTTCTTCATAATGTTACATGGTTTCTGACTGTCACGTGTGTATGGTTGAAAGGATTGTGTTATAGTGGGGTAGGCACTTGGGCTGTTTTCAGTCACTGGTGGGTAGAAGCTGCCACTTTGGTAGGTGGGTTCTGTGCTGTTGTTACTGTTGGCTAGAGCAAAATACTGATTTATTTGATCATTTTAAAAGCCACAAGCTCTCAACGCTCAATAAATTCTAAAATTCCAGTATTGGATTAAAACATCAGACAGTGTAGATATACTCTAAATTACAGAGACAGTAAAAAATAGAATAGAATTAGCAGATATTAATACATGATAGAATTAATCTACAGGCTCAAATCAAATAGTGCAGGTGGCGCAGGTCGATTTTATCCCCTGAGCAGCCCTGGGAGAGAACTGTCTGAGAGGCACCGGGTCGAGTGTAAACCTGTTGCTGGGCTCTGTGGGGGGCTGGAGGCATCAGGTTTAACTCAAGTTTAACTTGAGGTTTTCATAGTCTTGCCCAGAAAATGCCTTCTTGGAGTCACGTTTCTGGAAGGGGGCTTCTTGACCACCCTGCTGGCATTTGGAAGTATAATTGGCCAGGACTGACCAACGGAATAATGAGGAAAATACTTATCTCCTCTTGCTGATTAATCGTTGTCATAAAATGCATAAAATTTGCCACTGTTACCTCAGTGGGAATAATTCCAGAGGATATAATTTGTAATCTGCGGCCTAGATTATAGCTCTGACTTCGTTATTACTCTGCAAGCCGTGCGTCTTGTTGTTTGGTTTTGTTTGTTGGGGTTCTTTTGAAGTTTTTTTGGAAAAGTTAGTCTGAATTGACGTAGCTGGGTCTTCCTGGCTCAGTTTGCCGCGCTCCCTTGGCAGGGCCTCTTGCTCCCAGGGTGGGCTGTGCCTTGAGACGTGAGTTGGGCAAAGATGTGCAAAGGTCCTGCTCAGTCTGCTGTGATTTTTTTTTTTTAAACACCTTCTATGGAATATGTCCGTTGTTTTTAGCAGCCTGTGTTGGTCATCTGCATGAAGGCCAGGCTAGATGGGCCTTTGAGCAACTTGGTCTGATGGGAGGTGTCCTTGCCCGTGGTGCGGGGGGTTTGAACTTGATAATCTTTAAGGTCCCTTCCAACTCTAACCATTCTATGAATCTATGACTTCTGGTTGTCAAGTCTGAGCCTGTCCACATGTTCTGTTGAAAACTGCCATCCTAGGAATTCTTGCACAAATTGACTCAGATTTCTGTTGCGATGAATAGTCAGTGACAAACTAGTGGATTTTCCAGGAAATGCAACTGCAAACTGGCTTCTGCGTAAGGGTATTCGGAAACCTTGTGAAGATCCAGTGTTTTATCATGAAGCAAATGAGTGAAGTCATCTTCCTGGAATCTGCGGTCATTTGGGCTTTGGATTGTGGTAAAACCTAAAAGTTCCTCGTAACAAATTCTGGTAAAGGCCATAATCAAGTTTCTTCTTGGTATGTGGTGGTGGTGGCAGAATGCTTCAGGATGGGTCAGGATGGTGGTTGCCGTCTGGCCCGAGGGACTTGGCCTTCCCCTGGGATGAGAGCGGCCACCTCCGTTCTGCCCGACTCCAGCCAGTAGGATTTGCAGAATGTTTTCTGTGGGGTTTGGGGACGTCGTTCCATCCCTTCCTTGTCGATTCCTGGATCTCACGGGAGTTGCTGCTAATTGTGTTGAAATGTGGTTTTGTCATAAGGACAGACTCCTGCCAGGGGGTACTGTGTGAGGTGATAAATTTGCCTGCGTGGAGCCTGCAGGGAAGAAAAGATGCCATTTGCTGCTTGTCACCCCCCGAAGCGTGACTCTTAGCAGTGAGTTGGTTTCTTCCCAAAATGACTTCAAAGGAATTAAATGTGTTCTGAAATTTCTTTTTAAAGAAATTGCTCCCTGCTGTTTCCTTTATAGCTACCTTCCAAGTTTGCAAGAGAAGCCTTGACCTTCTCTGCAGGAGGCAAGTGGCGTCATTCTAGAGGATGACCTGGTGTTTCTCAGTCCTGGTTCTTGGCTCGTACCTCTTGAAACACACTCAGTGCTTTGGGGGTCATTCTGGTGGTACGACTTCATCACTTTTACTAGGGCTTGCATGCAGACACTTTGCGTGTTGTAGATCTCTTTTTTGGAAAAGTTTCTCTGTTTTGTTAAGGAGCTTTTAGAGAAGTGTGATTTTTAAGACGTCTTTTCCTGAAATAGAAACAAGGAATCTTTAGCCCAGCTGAGAACTAAGAGAGATGTGAAAGTGACTGTTGGCTGTGGCAAAGCTGATGTGCATGTGATGAAGACAATTCCGAAGTGACTAATTGCAGGGATGGCTGGTACCACAGCAGCACCGCCAGACGTCTGATTTGTAGGTGTTTGGGAGGGTTCACATCCTCAGTTTCTTCAGCCCGAGTCCTCTCCTGTGTTCCTCTTCTGACGAATGAGTAGTTTCCCCTCATCTCCCCTGGAAGGTAGGGGAAGGAGCTGATGATGTTAGGATCTGTTCTGCTTTTTTTTCCTTGTGTTTTTCTATTTCTAGATTTAGCTTTGGTGACTCAGCTGGGATTATAGGAAGGGAAAAGATGATGGGATGGGAAGACAAGAAGGATCTTGCCATTGTGGAACCTTACAATGTATTGGCCCTGGTTGCAGCTCTTTCTTTACCTGCTCGGAGGCTGTTTGTGGGAAGCAAAGGCTCCATCATACAGAGTTCCTCCACCTTTCTTTTTGCAGATCATCATGGCTTCTTCTAGCCCCGTTGCTCACTCCTCCTGTTCCTGTGGTCACAGCCCCACCTTGTTCCCTTTGTCCCGAAGGAGCACACAGGTTCCAGTGGATCAGGAATCTAGTTCCAGAGTTTGGGATCTCCAGCTCTCATGTCAAGGTGCTTTCATCCCCAACGGAATTCTATGAACTCTTGAAGGTGAGTTGTGGGTTCTGAGTTGTGGGAGTGTTTTTTGGGGGCAGGGAGCTGCTGTGAATTATGGTGAATCATAGAAAAGCTGCTAGGAAGGAGCACTTACGAGTCCACCCTTCCTCTTGCAAAGGATTATTGTCAAGAGTAGGTCAGGTCAGGCAGGCTTTGTCTCACTGAGTCTGGAAAACTGAGGATGGGGGTTCTGCCTCTGGGTGAGCAGTTCCACTGCTCCACGATCTTAATGGTTTACAGTTTTTTTCCTGGTGTCAGACTTTCCAAAGCTGTCTGTGGCTGCTGCTCAGCTGTAACCACCAAGAAGAGTTTGGCTCTGTCAGCTCTGTAACTTCTCTTCAGGTAACTGGAGGCTGCTGTTGGTTCCCCCCCAGCCCCAGCAGCCGATTAAAGCAGTTGTAGGATGAAAGCTGGGATTACCAGCGCCGATACCGACCTGGTGCTGCAGCCTCTGCCTGGTGACTGCGCTCCTGTGTAACTGTTTGAGCTGCAGGGAATGTGTTCCTCAGTTTTCCAGAAAGCATTGATTTCTTTCTTGATTTTTGGATCGGTGGTGCTGATGTTGCTCTGTCAAGACCTGTGTGTTTTACATCTTTGCTATCGGTGTGTTTTCCCCTTACAAGGTGGGGAGCCGACGCTGTGATCTGGCTGAAATGGTTCTCCTTGGGGATGGTCTGGGTCACTACTGATCACAGAGATCAAGGATGAGACTAAACTTATTTTCTGCTACTCCCAGGTGCAGATAAAAACAGCGAAGCAGCGAGTGGTGATGGCTTCACTGTACCTGGGGACGGGGCTCCTGGAACAGGAGCTGGTAAGTGTGGAAAGGGTTTGGGAAGGGCAGAAAGTGAACGCAGAAAGAAAATGTCTCCCTTTGCAAAAAGCATCCTGTTCCTGCTGTGCACCAGAGTGTATGTGAGCTGCAATTTGTGAACTTGTCCTGAAAACTTTCATGTAGGGATGGCCTCCTGGCTGCTGAACATTTGCTTTATCCAGCTTTACTTGCTCTCTGTAATGAGCAGGGAAATCTCTCTCTGCAGGTGGATTGTTTAGAAGAAACACTGGAGAAATCGCTGCAAGCAAAAGGATCCTCTGACCTCAGAGTTTCCATTCTCCTTGACTACACCAGGGGATCTCGGGGTAGATATTGCTTTGCTTTCTTCTATTTTACAGTTGGGCTGGGTAATCAGTTTTTTCAGAGAGAGGCTATCTTGACCTACTTGCTTAAATCATATGCTTTTCAAAACTGGCCTTTTGTATACCAGTAACTACTTGTTCCCAGAAAATCTTCAACCTGAGCAGCTTTTTTTTTCCAAAAATAGGTGCTAGGAGCAAGAAGGACCTCACTCTGCTCTGTGCTTTCTTGCTAGTTCACTTGTCAGTGCATTTGCCCTTATCTGTCATATTGCCTTTTTTAAAGGAAAGTGGGAATTGTTGGAAGTAGCAGAACACTTACCCAGAAAACTTTGTGGTGACTGTAGCCTGCATTACTAGTGCTAGGTGTGGCTTGATTAAAAGCTTGAATGATGTCAGAGTTGCTCAGTGGCCGTTTCCAAGGCCCATTCATCAACAAACTTACAATTCTGGATTCAATTTCAATATTGACATAGTGCAAATGAAAGCAATTTAAAAAAAAAAAAAAAAAAAAAGGAAAACATGTTAAGTGCCAGCAGAACAGATCATTCTGTAACCAGCTTCTGGCTGAGGAGCTGTGCTGCCATGTGGCCCCTGCCTGGTGTGATCCTGTGTGTGAAACTGCCCTTGTCTCCCAGGCAGGAAGAATTCTCGAACGATGCTGATTCCATTGCTGCAGCGATTCCCCGAGCAGGTCCGTGTGTCCCTCTTCCACACCCCAAACCTGCGTGGGCTTCTCAGGCTCCTGATTCCTGAACGTTTTAATGAGACCATTGGACTGCAGCACATCAAGGTCTATCTCTTTGATGATAACGTGATCCTGAGCGGGTGAGTCCTGCGTGGTTCGTTTAGCGGAGGTGTTGGGGCAAGGTGTGCACTGTCTGAGCTTCAGTATTTCCAGCTGGCCTTCCTGTAGTCATTGTATCAATGCTTTTCTGACGTAGAAGGGCGACCATAGCTCTTCCACGTGAGATTCTCACATGAAAGAGACTTTCTCAATAGGAAAAAAGAAAAGTTTCTCATGATTCAGAAGGAAATGGCCCATTTGTACTTTAGTGCAGTTATATGCAGAGTGAGATCTGTAACCCAGGCTGGGGTGTTCAGGGTCGTACGTCTATACTCTCTTCTGGAACTCAACTCTCCTTTTTTTCTCCTAGCGCAAACCTGAGTGATTTGTACTTCACCAATCGTCAGGACCGCTATGTTCTCCTGCAGGACTCTCCTGAGATCGCAGACTTCTTCACGGAGCTGGTGGATGCGATCGGAGACGTGTCTCTGCAGTTACAGCAAGATGACACGGTGGAGATGATGGAGGGGATGGTGCACCCCTACCAAGGTAGGAGGGACTTGTCCAACACTTGGTGGATAGTGTGATCCAGAGGAGGGGAGCGACAGCCAGGATTTAAGGCTGACTTGAGCCCCATCCATCGCTGAGTGTCTGACCATTGCTTACAAACTGCGGGGCGTCCCGTTTCTGTGCCATCCGTTATTTGAGACTGCATCAGTTGGAGTGTTCTGAGCACGGTGGCTGTCACCAGCTAATCTGGCAGAGAGTGCAAAGGTTAAAAGTTCCTCCCTCACTGGCTCATTGCTGCTTCAGAATTTTGCTGCTTATGGCCTTAAACAAGAACTTACATTCCTTGAGAGGTTCTTTCTGTTGTTGATATTAACGTCTATAATTCTAGCTGTTCTCTGTGTACATATTCTTAAAGGTCACGAATGTAGTGCTGCTTTTGGTTATTAATAGTAGTCGAGTCTATTCTGGGAATCAAATGAATGTTGAATTAGGAAGACCAAGTGTTGGAGTGGACAGAGATGACTATCTGTCTGTCACACTGATCACATCGTACGTTTGTGTCCTGGCCTTGCGCGCTGCTGGGTGATGGAAGCTTAGACTGGGGGCAGTAGTTTTGGTATGTTCCAGTTCATTCTTAGTTACCATTTCAGCTTCTCAGTTCTCAGTGGATTTTTCGAGCTGCTACTTGTCAAGTTTCTTACCCCTCTTGAAGCTGAATGTTTTTCTTCTGTAGCGTAGCTTTGTAAACCTTAACACATCTGTTATTGAGACTTAAGGAAGAAAGTTGAGTGGTCTTTGTGTCAGCTCCTTTTTGTTCTGATATTGGCGACCTGTCAATAGTTTTTGCTGCTACATAATAGATGATGTTAGCTCGGTATCTTTAGGTCTCAAACACAATCTTGTGTGGTTTTGGTGCAGGAGACAAGGTGGCTTACTGTGAGATAGCAAACCGAAGAGTCATGGAGGTGATCAACTCTGCCAGGACACGACAGGAACTCCTTCACGCAAAGACTTTTCACAGCAGCCAGCAAGGCAGCGCCTTGTTACCCCAGCAGGGTGCTCAGGCATCGGGGAGCCTGAAACCAGAACCCGACACCTGGATCTACCCCTTAATCCAAATGAAACCTTTTGGCATTCAGATCGATGAGATGGTGACAGAGACGCTGCTGACGGAGGCTGAGCGGGATGCCAGGATATACCTTACCACTGGCTACTTCAACCTGACACAAGCATACATGGACCTCATCCTGGGCACCAGGGCCGAGTATCGCATCCTTCTGGCCTCACCGGAGGTGAACGGGTTTTTTGGTGCCAAAGGGGTGGCGGGTGCCATCCCCGCTGCCTACGTTTACATTGAACACCAGTTCTACAGCGAGGTCTGCTGCCTGCACCAGCAGGAGAGGGTCCGGCTGCAGGAGTACTCCAGGGCTGGCTGGACGTTCCACGCTAAAGGTAAGATGTCTCTTTCCCAGGAGGACTTGGCCAGAAAGTGTTTGAGAATTGCAGTGTTTGGATTGCGCAACCAGCGAGGGGGTGGCTGGGTGCCGAGTCTAGAGTTAACTCCAAAATACTTGCCCAAGGTTCAAACATCTTGCTTCCATAAACCTGGAAAGTTTGGGTCACTCAGGGGCCAGTCATGTCTTGCCCGATTCAAGTACAGTCCCAGAGATTGTACAGGAATTGGCCCCGTGGTGACAGTAAAGCACTGCCTTGATGGGAAACTTGATGTGAAAGCAGAGGAAGCATCTGGTTGTATTTATGATCTCAGGAACGACTGTGATTCAGTTCTGCGTATCCCACTTGCCGGTTACAGCACGAAGCGATGACTTTCAGGGGCCCCCAGGCGGGATCTGCAGCAGAAGCGGGAAGGAACCTCGCTGCTGGTGGCTCCCAGTGGTCCTGGAGGCCACGTTCCTTGGCAGTGGGTCTTCCTTGGGGGTGATCCAGGTGTTGAGGAATTTGCACCAGCTTCTGCTTCTGGCACGCAGGAAAGGTGCAACACAGTGAATAAACGCAGCCACGCGCTTTCTGGGAGCTGGAGGCAGCTGGAGGGGAAGTTGCTGAGAAATGAATGTTGCTTAACAAATGTAGCTAATGATAAACAAAACTGATTAATACTGACATCATGGTCTTCTATAGAAGACCCTCGTTTTTTCCTTGCTTGGTAGATCGTGTATAACTTTCACAGACCCAGTGCCACCTTGACCAAAGCAGGAATGTTTTCCTCTGACTGGTTGTTGCTGGTTGTGGCTCTAAATTTTCCTTACAGAAAGTACAGTCCTTGACTCTTAAGTTCTCCTACTTTATACACAGTAGTATTAGCTTGCTCAGTAGTAGATTTAAATAATGCAGATAGCTTAGGATTTCTACTTAACAGGATTTTTTTATTTATTTTTGAGAAGTCTGATGCATGTGTCACTTGATAAATATCTCGATTCTACAGCCTTCCCACACGGGGGTGTGCCAGTGGAACACCTCACCAAACAGCTTGGTCTCTGGTCAGGTGTGACCCTCGCCGAGCTGAGACATCTTTGCCATGTTCCACAGCATCTTCTGCTTCTCTAATCTTCTGCAAGCAGAGCTCTGCAGCGTGTCACTGTGTCCCTTCCTGTGATGGCTCACAGGTCCCCTAGGACAGCTCTATTACTGTAAGCAGTGCCCAATCTGGCACTAATTAACATGAAGTTTCCCCAGCTGGCTTTGCAGCGTTTCCACTGCTGGCAGCACGTGTCTGAGTGAACGCTGGAAGGATGCAGCCCCCAGGGCTCCGGCTTGTTCCTGTTCCCGACTTCTCCTGCTGTTTGTTTAAGGAGACAGTTAATGAGTGTGGGGTGCAGGGCTGTGCAGAGGAGGCTCAGAGGAGGGAGAAGAAGCTGCTGAGTAGGCCTTCTCTTGACTAAAGAAAATACAGAGTGTTACTAGGCTGCCTCTGTCGAAACTACAAACCTGTTTAAGGAGTGAGATCAGTAACCGGTGCAGTAAAACCCTTATCTCGGTCCGGGGCAGCCTGGAGGAGGTGCCTGCCTGGCTGGGAAGTCGTGTGTGGTCTCTCTTCCAGGAAGCACGTGCTCGAGCGATCTGTGGTTCGCAGGTTCCTCCTCTTGCTGGGCACTGCTGGCTCCGAGTAGGATTTTGTGGTTTGGCATGGATTGAGCTCGGAAGGCACGGGCTGTTTTTCCAAGTTACCAAAGCGCACGTGGCAGTCAGTCCCTTTTTGGGCCAGCTCTGCCTTCTTGTGGGAGTGCTGTTCGATATTCTCCCGGAGAGAGGGATGCAAGACTTGAGGTGTTCCACAGCTCCCATGCTTGGCAGGAAGGACAGTCAGAGATGTTTGCTGCCTTCTTTCCTTTTCCTCTTCGGAGCGCTGGAAGGAAGAATCAGCCTGGAGCTCCCTTCTCTGGCACGCTCTGCCCTTGGCACACGTTTGATTCACCCAGTTTCCTCCTGCAGGACTCGCAGTGTGTGTGAGAGAGGACAGGGCAGAAGAGGGAAGGGGAGGAAAACCTGGAGACAGATGAAGGGCAGCTGCACGTAGGGTCTAACTCCTGGAAGAGGATGCAAGGTCCCTAACAGCAAATACTGCTGTTAATGCTTCCTTCTTTGGCTAAGATGAACGACACCCTTTAGTCTCCCATGGGATGTAGCTGATTTACATCGAACGCTATGGCTGCTATTTTGTAAACCCCTCCAGCTCCTCTTAAGATGTCTTTTTTTGTCCTCACACACACGTTCTGCAGTGTGCATTCCCACCAGGGTTCTGACTGTCCTTCGGTTTGTTCGGTGCGAGGGCAGAGCACGGCACAGCCCTCACGCGTGTGGAAGTAGGAGACACGAGAGCGGCTTTCCTGGGTGTAACGTGGTGAAGCTGTGCACATCTACCCCTCTGCTGATGCCTCTCTGGGTGGGGTGTTGTGGATGATAGGTCTGTCCTTAAGGATTAGGGTCCCCTCCATGCCAGTGCCGGGCAGGTGGCTGTTTGCTCAGAGATAAACCCGCCTTATTGCTGGTGAATGGGGCTGGGAAACCACGCTTCCCCTTTCTGGAAAGGTGAGTCACTGTTTGAGCAGATCCTGCCAGGTGGCCATAAAGCCCCAGGTACCGTAAAGGCTTTAGGGCCACCTGGGGAGAGCAGGGAAGTGTGTTCCTGGTGCTGCTGCCCAGGCAGGGCTTTGCCCATCACCGGGGGGGCTTGTGCCAGGATCATGCAGCCCATGGTGGCCATCCTGTGTGGTGGCAGAACCTGCCAAGTCTCTGTGCCACTTGGGTGTGTTTTTGCAGCTCCAGGAGCCCCCTGTGTCACCTCTCCTGCCCCTCTGAGAGGGGTCGGTCCCACACTGGGTCCTGGGTAGTGCCAGCTCCGAGCCCAGAGGTGTCACTGAAAGTGGCCGCGGAGCTGCTGAGTGTGTGCGATGTGGGGGCGGGGAGGAGGTTACAGGAACCAGCGGTGAATCGGCAGCTTCTTACTCAAGGCATTCTTGGAACTGCTCTGGGGCTGAGTTAGGAAACCTGCTTCTATTTTAAGGACTAGGTGGTTTTTATGCTACGGTTTCTTTGTTGTAGTCTTTGTGGGACTTGCTGTAGGGATAAGCCATCTATTAGAGACCTGCCCAGGGCTGTTTTAAGCGTTTGTGCCTTGTGAAGTGGAGAGCAAACACTTCTTGGGCTCATTTATCCATAGAGAATGGCTGTAGAGACTCTCCTTGGCAATAGTCCTGGCTCTCCTTTGCCATCCCCAGCTGTTCTGTCCTGCTGTGCCATGAGGGTGGGCTTGGGAACAGTGTGGTCTTTCCATCTTCTGCTTGAGAAAAGAGCCCTCGGTTGTGTCACACTTGCTGTTGCTGTTACACTGTTGTGTGTGAGCTGTGGTGAGCGCACTCGGGAGTCTTGTGTCCTGGCAAGAGTCTGATTTCATCTTCAGATAGCTCCTCAGGAAGTGAGTGGGTGTAATTAATTTGTGCTTCTCTTACAAGTCTTTATTTCATGTGACTTCACCTGCCAGAGGAGGGAGAGGCCTCCTCGTGTCACCATCTTGTGTCCCCTCGGGAAGGGGGTCAGTCACCCTGCAACTGCTCCACTGGGGTGGACTGGCCCAGGCCTGGCTTCCCTGGAGCTCTTCTTGTTTGGTGTAGGTTTGCCTTCACTGAAAAACTGTTTGTTTTATTTCAGTGTTTCTGAGATATGCCGTGGTGCAAAACGACCTCTAACCTCTGATAGTGACTCACTGGGGATTATTTTGGGGGCCCTCCGTGTGGTCTATTTACATTCTGAAGAATGTGTGCCCAGGGCGGCACCAAGGGTGGTACAGCCCCTGCCGAGACCAGGAGTTTGGGCAGCGTGGGCTGTGCCAGGGTACCCCCAAAGTCGTACGAAGTTTTACGAGATGTGCCAGCCCATCTGCAAGGAAAAGCTGGCTTTGTGTCGTGATCTTTTATAGTTACTGTAATCTAACATGTTTAATTCATTTCTTCTCAGCGAAAGGATTGTTTGAGGCTACCCCGGCCGTTTCCTTTGTCTGCCACGCTTCCTTTCTCCCGCTTTTCCTGCAGGCCTCTGGCTGTACCTGGCAGGAAGCGATCTGCCCTGCCTCACTCTCATCGGCTCGCCTAATTTCGGCTACCGATCGGTTCATCGTGACTTGGAAGCTCAGGTTGCGATAGTGACAGAAAATAAAGCTTTGCAGCAGCAGCTCCATCAGGTAAGTGGCTCTTCTTGGGGGGAGGTAACGGGGCTGTTGCGCTTCTTGCTCACGCGGGGAATGCTGATGACGCAGTCGCAATAAAAACCTCCAGCTACAATAATTCAAACCCTCCTTGAGCGCAGGGAGTCTGAAGGAGCTGTCAGTTAAGTGACTATTGATGAGATGCCCGCTGCGAGCGCCTGCTTCTGGGAAAAGGAGGCCGTAACGGGAAGGAACACGTGTCCCCAGTGAAATGGGGATGCTCAGGCCCCGGATGCGCTCGGAGGGGATTTGTAGCCTCTCCCTGCTCACGCAAGCACGTCCTCGAGCCCTGTCCCCAGCATCTGGGCATTGCCAAGGTCACACCGTGCTGCGGGATAATGAGGTCAGGCCCTTTGCATTACTGACCTCGGGACTTCTGGAGGACTTTGTTTCTCTGGCGTTTGGGAAATCCTTTGTAGGAGTATAAATGCCAGTCAGCTTTTGGGTGACTGCCCACAGGCTGTGGAGGTGAACAAAGGCAGGGGATCGTAGTTTCTGCAAGAAGAGGGTTTCTGGGCTGGCTGGATTCCCAGTTAAGTTATATGACATTATATAAACTTGACACAAATGTTTTTCAGTGGTTTAATGTTCAGTGTCCCAGGTTTGTTTGTTTTTTGGTTTTTTTTAATTTATTTTTTTATTAGGCAGCTTGGACTGCTCAGCGCTTTTGCTGCTTCTCTAAATGCTGTCTGGCTCTCCAGCTGCCTTGACTTTGAATCTTCTGCGGGAGTTGACAGTGTCCCAGAAAGCAAATTGGTTTCGTGCCTCTGTGTGTGGCTTAGAACACGTTTGTGCGATCCCTATTAAGCCAAGCCCTGGCAGAAGTCGTTGCAGTTTTCTCTTCAAGATCAATGGGAATTGCCCTATTGCATCAGGGCTCTTCCACGGGATGAGTCAGAGTATATCTAATCAAAAACAATTCTATTACTGGAAGAGTTGCTTGAATATTTCAATTCATATCTTGCCTCTACTTGTTTCTAATGGAAGGGGAGAATCAATGAAAATATGACACAGGAATTTTCTCAAACAGCGCCGCAGTGATCTAATTTCAAGGGCTTTAAACCATTCCCATTTGCTGGAAGCTGATTTTGAGATTGGCTGTTTGTTTACTGTTCTGTGATCTTTGTTTAGAAGACTTAATACGTTACTGGTGTGCTGCCAGGAAATCACTTTGCCTGCGTAATGTTCAGTTCCATTTTAAAAACGTGTGAGGAGATTTGGGAAGGAATCAGAGCAGTCTGGGTATTTTCGGGAGCTCCACTGAATGAACTGAGCTTCGGTTCAGATGACTGGCCTGGCCTCTGGGACCTGATGGCAGAGCCCTCATAGCAGGGCTGCCTGGGGCTCCCGGAGCTTTTGGGGTTTCTAAAATTAGGCTGATTTGGCACACAAATGTCTTCCTTCTGTTGTTGTTTCATCTTTTTTGGTGTTACTTTCTAGTGCTTGGTTCCTGCTTCCCTGTTCCGCCCTGAGTTTTAACAGGGCAGAGTATTTTCTGTTGTCTGTGACAGCTTAGCTATTAAAAAAAAAAATTATAGACAGACTTACAGTAGATAATCTGCTCCTTGTTTGCCTGCAAATCTGGGAACCTGTTGCCTGTGATAAGAAAACCACTTCTACCTTTGATCAAACAGCTGCTTTCACGTGCAAGGCGAGCGTGTATTATCATCATGATGGTTCATTTCCTCTGGCAGCAGTGTTGTGTACACGCTGGAGAAACCCAAGTGTTTCTGGTAATTTAGTTGAAATCATGACTGCGTATTCATTTGAGAACATGGGGCTTGAGCTGTGTCTAGAAAGAGCTGCGTGAGCCGGTCTCCTGAGATTATGGTCAAGTTTCCTTTTCTGGCAATTACAGCCAGAGATTTAGGATTTTTTTTCTGAAACTGCAGCTTAGCTGTCTTGCAGCTCTGGGGCACACAAAGGCAAAACTTTCCACCTTTGCTCTTTGTAGAGTTTAAATTGCTAATTCTGGAGGTTCAGCTACTTAGCACTGAGTGCCATCAAAAGGTGGGGTGCTGTGTGAGGGCCAGGTCCTTGGTCTGTGGTGGCTCTGTGAGTTGTGCTGCACGGAATGAGACTTTTCCTCATTCAGGCTTGAGGGAGAAACGGTGCATCCTTTCGGCAGGATCCACGGCCAGTTTTATTGGAGAATTTGCTTTTCTTACAGTCTATTATATATTTATGATGATATGATTTAACACTGAGGATTTACTGGGGTGATGTTTCTTTCCCTGTGTAGGAGCAGGAGCAGCTTTACCTCTGCTCAGGTGTTGTCTCATCATCAACATTTGAGCAGCCAAACCGTTACGTGAAGCTGTGGGTGAAGCTGGTAACGCCTCTGATCAAGAACTTCTTTTGAAAGGAGTTGCTGCTTTGGGTGAGTTTTCTGCCATTCTTACAGGAATTTATATTGCACTGACTGCAATTACTTAGTGCAGTACTCCTTATCGTGTGGCAGAAATAGTTGCTGGAAACATAGATGGTGTGGGGAAAAAATAGGCATCTCTCATTTCTTCTGGGGTATTTGCCACTGACTGGAATCATTGCTCAAGGTCTAGATTGGGTTTCACCTACGAGAATTTCTGGAAGGGGTAATGAAAGAGAACCCATACAAGGGTATTTCCCATGCAGAGAAATACAACTTCCATTTCTGAAATGGCCCTTTCAGGGTTTTGTGGAGAGGGACTATGTTTATTTTATCTTGACCAGCTCATAGAAAACATTGTTGGAGTATTTAAAATGTTCTGTCTTTTTGTCTGATCAGTGCTTTGCTTTAACCTTGTAAATGATGGCTAATAGGGGCAGTTGTTTTTAATTTTCTGCTGCCTGATTGCCCAGTAACTGGAGCCCCTCTGAGCTTCATGGAATGGCTCGTAGATTTTTTTTTTCTGTGCTGCGAGTGCAGTCTGAGCAGTTGGCAGCTGAGTGTATGCCCTTGACACTGGGTGCTGACATCACACATCCACTTTATTTCCATAAATAAGGCCTCCATCTCTGGAGCTGTCTCCAGCTCCTTCACGTTGTGTCACGAGTGTCTTCCCTGAATTGTGGAGAGGGCACGAGAGCACTCCTGGTACCAGTGGGATTCTTGGCTATTATTTGCTGGGAATGGGAAGTTGAAGCTGTGATACGTGTCCTCCAAAGAGGTGGTTTGGGAAGGTGGATACAAAGGGGTTAGAGCATGGGCTTGGAGTGTGCTGGGAGTCCCAGGGGGAATCTGTGCAGGGTGTTCTGGTGTGTGCAGCCAACAAAAGGGATTTCAAAGGAGCTGAAGGTAAGTGTGGGGCTTATTGGTCATTGTTTCTTTATATAGTAGCATTTAGAATTAAACAGTTCTACTTGCCCCCCCTTGTGGCCTTTCTTACCACCAGATGTGAGGGTGGGTTTATGCAACTCTATTTTAGAACTGATTGTTCAAATATTTCATGGGGTGGGATTTTGGTGAATTATTTTATGCTAAAGGGACAGGCATTGGCTTCCGTCTGGTGGCCGGAGCAGATCTAATCACTCTAATAGGTGTTACTGCTGATACAAATTACGTGCTGAGGGAATGGTCTATGAAAGGAAGGGTAGAAGAGATTTTTATAACCTAGAAATAGAAAGAAACTCATTTCAGAGATAGGCCTGCGTGCAGCTGGACTTTGGGTTGGTGTTGGTGAACTGGGCCAAATCTGCCCCTCTCTTCTTCTGTCTGGTCTAAACGGCTCCCTGCTTCCATGCAGGAAGGTGTCACGCACTCAGCTCGGTGACTTTCAGCTCAGGGTTAGCACCGAGCGATCAGACAAATAGCTGTGGGAAGACAGAGAGCTGTGAGAAAGGAAGGAATGGGGCTGGTTGCATGCGATTGTTCCGTCTGGCTTCCTTCGGTGGTCTGGCTCTCAACCAGCGCTTTATCAGAAACCACCAATTCAAAACCAGTATCCGTCATGAGAAACTCCACATATTGCAAGAGCAGACTCCCACATGAGAGCAGTTCCAGCGATGCTTTTATTAATACTTTGCTAAAATAGTCCTGGTACAATCAAACTTGGACCGAGTTATACAACTTTGAGTTTTTCTGCAAGTAGAAGTGTTTGCTGTTTAACTTTCAGACCTGTAAGAGCAGAGCGACCCCGGCGAGGATCCACTTAGTGGCGTTTTCTTTTGTCTTTAGGTTGAAGGTCCAGACGTAGGTGGGACCTCGCATCCGTGTCTTGTAGACAGGACACTCATAGACGTTCTTGGTTTCCACGCGGTCCACGGGGATGGCTCTGATGAAGATGACGGGCATCATGGGCGTCAGCTCCTTCAGCCGAACCTCTGCCATCACACTGGAAGGGACGTCCCACTGAGCGCCTGCGAAACCGGGGGACTGTTGGGGCACCGGCCGCCCCACGGCGCTTCCCGGGGAGGGGGCTGTTTTCCTGACCCCTCCCGGGGCAAAGGGGCTGCTCCGGCAGCAGCCGGGGGTGGAGTGGGACGGTTGGGTGGCCACGGCTGAGCAGTCATTAGGGCTAACGAGTTCTCATCTCACTGTGACTCAAGAATGCGTTTTGCCTTACTGTGTGTGGGGTGCCTAAATAAATTGTGTCCCCGCTTGTCCCTCTGCAGGGCTGTGTGTGACCATTGCACGGCTGGAGGCAGGACATGGCTGTGAAGGGGTGTCCTGGCTGTGAAGGGGTGTCCTGTTTGGTCTGTGCTTTGTTCAGGTGGACGCGTTGGTGCTCTGCTGACACTGCCATCTCTTCCCCATCTCCCCCTCCCCATTTTTTACATTAATTATTTTAGGTTCTGAGTTTTCTGATTTGTCTTACACATCCAACAAGAGTGTAATAAGTACATGTATTCGTTAGAACCACATAGCTTGGGACAGCCCAGTCTTCAGGTCCCCCCGAACAGCAGCCTGAGTTTCCAAAACCAGTGTGTGGTTTGAGAAACTCTGCTCGTAAAGTGGAACGGTGCTGCCCTCAGCTGGTGCGGCTCTGATTTAGCTGGAGTAAAGGCTTTTGCAAAATCCCTACCAATTCTGATGAGCTGGTGAATATTAACACCCCCTCCCCTCACCTGTGCTTTCTCCGTGTCCCAAACACCTCAGAAAAGAGGTTCTCTTACCCTCCATGAATAGTCCGTGCACGTAGGAGCCTTCTCTGGGTGGAGCTGTTATAGCGTCGCGGTTTTTCTTGCTCACTTCCACGGACAGACACATCTTGTCCAGAGGCCACTCGTTTTTCCTGGCCGTGGACTGCATGATGGCGGTGAGGAAGGGCTGGGGGTTGAAGAATCCAGCCAGCCACACCGTCGCAGGCAGCACAAAGTCTGTTGTCCAGACTTCTAATTCCTGGAAAATAAAAACAGCGGAGGCCTTTGAGCAGTGGGATACGGCTTTGAGGTGTGATGGGATGAGGAGCTGGTGCTTCTCTGTGCCTGATGAGCCTCAGGGCATCTCGGAGGGGGACACTGGGGTGGAGGTGGGCTGCGATTAATAAACAGCAGATTCCACTGCAGCAATTAAACTGTTCATTTGCAGTGCAGTGAATACAGTTATTATTTTTTTTTAACAAAGCCACACTTTAAAGAGACAGTTCTATTAATTATTTTTTTCTTCTGAGACAAATAAAGTTATGATGGGGTCAGCTAATGCTTTTTTGAAACAGTGAACTCTAAAGGTGAACCCTTTTGAAACTTCAGCTCTCGTTCTCTTAAGTGGCGGGTTCAGGTACTTCAAACTGCTTGAATTAATACTGAAAAAATTAAACCATTTAACCACTGTACGCTGCCGGAGGTGGTTCCTGGTCTCCTGTGGTACCCTCTGCCTGCCCAAGCTCTGTCTTTCAGGGACTGTGCTCACCCGGATGCGCAGGAGCAGGTCTGTGTACCAGGCTCAGCAGGGAGGGGTAGGCGTAGCGCGTCCAGGACTCCGGGACGCTGTTGTAGAAGAGAGCGTTCCCCAGTTCTTCCATGTCTGAGGTGATGGTTAGCTCTCCCTGTGAGAAAGACAACAGTCTGGGCGGTTGTACCTGCAGAAAGCGAGACTGGTGGAAACACCTGGTCCTTTTTGGGCAGCTGAATAAGGCACACCTTTAATCCCAAGTCTAGTTCTTTTAGGGAGCGCCTGATTTCATGGGTCAGGAGGTTCATCCTTTCACATTCCTGGAAGGCAACTACAACATAGGGGGTCATCTCGGCCGCTTTCGCCATGATCTCTGCCATGTTGAAGGGCTCCGGCAGCTTCTCAATGATCTCATCTAGGACTGACTTCACCTGGAAAGAATATGCCATGAAAATGCAGTTATCCAAGGAAAAATGCTGTGAGTTAATAGTTAATTAACTTAGTAATATTTTTCTTCTTCTGCTTTAGTGTTTTCCTGTGTTTCTTCCTCTGTTACTAAGACTCCATTCTTTTACTAACTGCTCTTGGATCTTAAAAAGCTGGATCTTAAAAAGTAGCCAGGAAGGTAAGAGCTGAAGCCACTGTGTAATTAAAGTGTAAAATCCAGGGAGTCAGGAGGAACACTTCTATTTAAAAAAAAAAAACAACAAACCCAGGAAAACTATTTTTAGTGGCTGTCATCATGAATGGCAATTACACAGGACATGAGCCACATTTTGCATCTCTGGCCTATCCAAGAGTAAGTGTCCTGGTCACCGCTGGCTGTTTGGATGGAGCCAACACAAAGCAGGGGCTGGGGCAGCGTTTCAGCCCCTTCCCTGTGCCCTTTGGGTTCCTTGGAGATGCTGGAGCAGAGCAGCTCATGGCCTTCTGCCTGCCCAGGGGTCTGATGCCAGAGCAGAAAAGGGCCAGCGCTGCAGTGGGGACAAGGATAGGGACAGAGACAGACCAGTGCCTGTGGCCTGTTTGTGTCCTCCCCTCCTGGTCCCCTCCAGGCCCCTCAATCATCATTGTGTAGCATAAAACTTGCCTTTTCCTCTCGGGAGACGCCTGAGCCTCCTCCAGCGTCCGATTCTTTGGGCTGCATTTCCAAAACCGTGCGGAAAAGCCTGTCCGAAGTGACGGTCAAGAAGCCGATTTGGGCGTTGGGGTGGAGGCCGTAGAGGTGGGGGCTCTCGGGGGGCAGGTTGTCATCGCTGTACTCGTGGTAGCCCTGGGCACGGAGCAGGCGCTGGCATTAGTTGAGCTGATACAGCCAAAGGAGGGGGTTTCACTTCAGTCTTCAAAACACGTCATCGCTTTCTGGTGGTGCTGCCTCAGCTCCCTTGGCTGCTTTACTCAACGCTGCTTTTGACTCAGGCCTTACCTAAGTTTTTCCCTTACCGCCCCGGCCACAGGAATTATTTTTGTAGCGATTCTGCATATTTTCATGGGATTGAAAGTTTGTTTTTTTTTCCCCTCGCTTTACATTCCCCCTTGGTGAACGTCAATTAACTCTGACTGCTGTGCATTTATCCAGACCGGTGCTTTTTCCACAGCAAAAGGCAACTTTAAAATTTCTCTTACCTTGTAATCCAGGCTGGGGGGGATGAGAAACCCCGGGGCCAAGGACAGTTCCCCCTCCAGCATCTCGGGGCGCACGTACTCGCTCAGGTACGTCCGGCAGAGCCGCCGGTCCCAGTCGTCCGTGATGTGTCCCCCATACACGATCTCACCAAAGAGGTACTGCAGGTCGTCCCATGGCACCTACAAGGAAGGGGGTCACCGTGAGGGGGGTGTCTGTGGGCTCCCGACAGCTCCCCACAGCCCGGGGTGGCCACACGTGACCGCGGGGGCAAGGAGTGATGGCTCCTGGGCTGGTCTGTCCCAGCGTCCTGGGAGGGGACATAGCCCAGACCTGCAGAGCGTCGGTGACAGAGTGAGGGGAGCAAGATGTGGACCTTGTCCCAGGTGTCACTTGTGTTGGCCCCCAGGTTTCATCCTGTGGACACGGCCATCGAACCCCCAACACCTCTTCTTCATTAGGGTGAACCTTGATCACGTCTATGGGGCCTGGGGAAAGCAGGACTCTCCCAAGGAGGGACCTTAGTTTTACCCATCACACCTTCATTCTCAGGGCAGGCTTTGCTTTTCAGGTGGAAAGTAATTTAAAAAAAAAACAACCAACACCCAGTGCAAAACACCCGCTTTCCACCCAAATCAGGATGGAGGACTTGGCACCTTCACCCACCAGAGCAGGCAGCTCCCGAGGAGGAAGGAAGAGCTGCTGGTAACGTTGTGTTTCCCCAAGAAAAGGTATTTGTGCAGGAAAGGGATAAATTTTTTTAAAGAAGGTTGACTGTCACAGTGTGTGTTGTGCTGAGGTACGGTCCCTTCCAAAATCCCTTACCTTGGGGGTTGGCCTCCAGGTAGTTGTAGAGGACGTTAATGGAGATGGTCATGTCCCCGTTGTTGAAGGGGTAGGGTCTGTTCCAGCCCTGAGTGGAACTTTGGTGGCCAAACTTGCGCCGCTCGGCCACCACCGTGTGGAAGTAACAGAAAGTGAACAGGATGCATTTGAACTTGATTTCTTTGCTGCACATCAGTGTGTCCTGCCGGGGAGTAACAGTCAGAGTGGGTTTGCCCGTGAACGAGCGACTGTTGCGATCGGCCACCCCTCTGTTGGGGAACACGGACAGATGACGGTGGAGGAAAACTGAAGGTTGTTTATTAAAATAAAGCATAAAATTCTCTTTTAAAGATTTGCTAGTTGGTTCATTTTTGCGCTTGTTTGTTTATAAAAAAATTAGGAATCCCCCCCCCATACACCCTGTGCTGACAGTCGAGGTGGCTCGTTGGTGGCACCAAACTGCAGCAGCTCGCCCTTCATCCCTGGGAAAGGCGTGGGTGACTCCACACCTCCCTGGTGGCCCCTAAATCACGTCCCAGGAGTTGGGGCTCTGGGTACCCCCAGGAGGATGTGCCTGGTGGGGTGGAGGGGGCAGGTTTCTGGGGAAGTGTCTGTGTCTGCAGTGACGCCCCCAAAAAAGCTCAGTGGGGGAGACCCCCCTGGATGGGGAGAGGTGACCTGGAGTGGTGGGAAGGGTCCGGTGCGGCCGTGGTGGGGGTACCTGGGTGAAGTGGTCCAGGGCTTTGTGCAGGTTGGCGTACGTGCCCGTCAGCAGCTCGTTAGTGATTTTGATGGAGTTTTCCAGCAGCCCCTGAGGGATGATGTGCGTGTCGGGGCTGGGGGCCGGCTCGGTGCTCATGAACACCCGGTAGTCTTCGTGGCTGCCCAGGCTGTACTGCTCCACCAACTTCTCCAGCGTGCCCAGCCACCGGGCCACCAGGTGGATGTTCTGCAACAAGAACCCGCTGGTACTGTCTAGTCTCAAGTACAACCCCGGGAATCATGCGTTTCCCCCAAAAAAATTCCTGCTGTGGCTCCACAGAGAGCAGGGGCAGCACAACACGGCACCGCTTGGGCTGGGGACACCAGTGTCACTGCCCTCACGTGGGGAGCACCGTGAGGAACCCTGTGCCCCCACCGCAGGGCCACCATCCTCTTTGGATGCCCTCCCATGCTTTTGGCTTCCACTCTCTGTGGCTGGTTGCCCACCCTGTGGCCCATCTCTGGTGCCCGGTTGCCAGCCAGGCTGTGTGCCCCGCGGTGTGTCCCAGTGCCCCCCTCACCCACCTGCAGGATGACCCAGTGGCCCTGCGTGGCTGCTGCCTCCAGGGCCTGTTCTGCCACGACCTCCTGGCCCTGCCCCAGCGACACGTTGTGGATCCTCCCGTTGTCGATGGTGAAGTTCAGTTTTTTGCCTGGGGAGGGGAGGAAATGGCATTCACTGGCCCAGCCCTCGTGGTCCGGTGCCAGCCAAGGAGGGGGCATCTGCTCACCCAGGACCTCCACGTCTTTCAGTGGGTCGACGCCAGGGGAGAGAATGAAGAGCATGGGCGAGGAGGGGCTGCTCTCCTTGTACACCTTGGCGAGCTCAATGCTCCTTCCTTCCACAAACTTACTCCCCATCTTCTCTTCCACAAAGTTCCTAGGGAAAAAATAAACCCGGAATGTGGGTTAGGAACAAAGGTGGTCTCTGGGCACAGCTGGCACAGTGACACGGGGTGGGTGCTGGCACACCTGATGGCGTAGGTCATCCTGTCTGGTCGCATGCACCGCAGCATGCACAGCTTCTGCAGGGACGTCTTGTTCTTCCACTTGAAAGATTCCACTAGAAGATTTAGCAGAGACCAAGTGGGCGAGATTTTACTGTCAAAACTCCCTCAAACAAGTATTTGTGTCGCCCTGGTTGCAGTATCTGTAAACAATACCTTCTAACTTGCAGCGGCGTTCTGCGACTTTGTGATAACACAGATCCCGGCAGCAAACCAGTATTTCACGGTCTGATGCCTGCAGTATTGGACAACAGCGCCTCAAATTAACAAGAAGGGGACAGAAGAAGACAAGGAGGGCGGCAGTTCGGGGCAGGGTGAGCGCCGACAGCGTCTCATCCAAATACAGAAAAGGGGGTTGGTAGAGAATGATTTGGCAGGAATGGAGAGCGAAAGTAAGGAACAGAAAAAAAAAGAAAAAAAAAAAAAGGGATTTGAATAGCTGGAGAAAGGAAGCGAGGAAATTTAGAAAGAATCCAGAAGGAGTAGCTAGGAGGTTCGAGTTATTGGCAAAGAATCAAGATATTGATTGGGAGGATATAGAAGTAATGTTGTCAGAGCTAACGGATACAGAGAGGGAACTCGTATTGAGAACAGGAAGAGAACATGCTGCTTTATTACAAGAAAAGCTGGATGTAATATTTCCCAATAGTAATCCAGAATGAGGGGGACCAGTGAGTCGTTCCCTAGCAGAGACCCACTGGTTAAAATGAAGCTAGGGAAAGGTGAAAAGGAATTAGACTTTTTAATTGATACGGGAGCAACATTTACGTTTTAAATCAGAAACTAGTGCCCAGAAGTGATGAATTTGTACAAGTTGTGGGAGCAACAGGCCAACCAGAAAAAGCTTACTTTTAAAAACCCATTAAATACAAAATTGGAAAACAAATGGGAATCTGTAAATGTAGGGAGAAAAGCCCAACTCACCTGGACTGTGTTACCTCAAGGCTATAAAAATAGTCCCACAATTTTCGAGAATCAATTAGCCAAAGAATTAGAACAGTGAAAGAGGCCACTGGGAAATGGAACTCTTTTACAATACGTAGACGATCTCCTAATAGCAACAGAGACAGAAAAGGAATGCATAAAATGGACTATTTCTCTGTTGAATTTCTTGGGTTTAAGTGAATATCGAGTTTCTCAACAGAAAGCACAAGTAGTGCAAGAAGAAGTAATATATCTGGGATATGAAGTTTCCAGAGGACAGCGATCCTTAGGAACAACAAGAAAGGAAGCCATCTGCCAAATGCCTAGACCAGAAACGGTGAGAGATCTGCGCGCCTTTCTGGGAATGACAGGTTGGTGTCGACTATGGATCTATCAGTATGGGATACTCGCCAAACCACTATATGATTTGCTAAAAGGAACTAAGAGTATCCTACTCTGGACTCCCGAAGCAGAGGGAGCCTTTAAGAAACTGAAACAGGAGTTGTAAATAGAGGAAAATTCCTAAATAAAGGAAACCTGTAGAACTGAAGTATATTGCTGGTTAGCTGTGAGTAAGCAATGTTCTTGAGTTGCCAGTGGAATGGGTATCCACCTTCAACATCTGGCAATTGTCCTTACTCTCAAAGGAGGCTATCAAGGGGCTATCTGTGAGAGGACTCAAACTTGCTGGGTTTATAGCCTTTGAAGTCAGGCAGACAGAAGGATTTTCTTGACTGGGCTGTGGGTGTCTTCACCTTTTGCAGGCCCGTTGAAAACTACAGGCAAAGGGTGCAGTGAATGGTAATTGTGACTGTGTGTGCTGAAGCCTCAGCTGAACCAAGAGTGTGATGCTCTTTCGAAAGAGTTACTGGCTGCAGCTTATATCAGGAAGCCATTTTTAAAGATTAATGTTATAAATGGGGGGGCTCTTTTATAGTACAACCTTTTCAAACAAGGTTGGCATTAACACTTATTGCTTGGGTTCTCTGTATTCCTTAAGGACAAATATTTGTGCAATTTTGTGATTCTATAAAGTGTGATGCTGTCCCTTTGATTCTACAGAGGACATGTGGAAATACTACATCACTTTTTGCTTAGAGAGGTATAACAGGAAAACCAACAGTGACGGATTAAAGCAAAAGGTAAAAGCTTATTAACAAATAAGTAACAAGTTACAAATCATCCCTATCTTTACTGACTTCTGTAACCCATCAGACAAGAGGCAAATATGTTTTGTCATTTTATGAGAAATACTTACCTGCGGCTATCATTAAAAATCATTTAGTCTCCATCTGAGGGGATCACTTTTACTGTCAGGCTCATGTAGGGCCTGCCTGAACATGAATAACTTGGGGGTAAACCTTGGGCCTTGTCAGTAAAATAGAGTGACCTCTTTGGATGGAAGTTACGAGTACAAAATTTGTAATGTTCGCTGACAGTCCTGCAAACCTGTGCTCGTTCAAAGAAAAGGGTGAATTAAAATAACTCTTGCAAATAAGTCTGAGCAAAGTTTGGTGCTGGCATGTGGGGACTTAATTATGCATCTGTGTTCAGGTATGACTCGGTGAATTAACTCATCATCCTGTGTAGGTTGGTTCCCTTTTAATACAGTAAAAGAATATTGCTATGTTGTTCTTTTGCCCCTTAAAGAAGAGATGTAATTCAGATGCTCAGATTTCCCCTTTGTCTTGGAATGTATGCAGGTACCTAAAGATACATAACTCTTACTGAATTTTAGTGACATGTTAATACACTAATCCACTGGACTTCTTGTAATGCTGGGATCTGGTATTTGCAGGGATAATGCTTGTTTTCTTTTTCTTCTCTGTTGGTTTTAGAGGCTGGAGAGGACACTAAGTGTGTTCAGCAAAGCTCATGAGTCCAGTTTGCTGCCAGAAGCTCTCTATAAGCAGTGGGTAAGAGCTGACATGGAAAAATAGATTGAGAGTCTGTCCTGCGTTGCTTGTCTTTACTCTTTTGAGTAGATAGAAATGTGGGCAATAATGTGTTCAAAGCCTTGCTTTTTAAAAAGGTATTTTGCTGATTGTGGTGATTTGCTGTGTCTGCTTGGTTTTTAGCTTCAACTATTACTGGAATCCAACCTCTTTGAGAAGGCTGTGGAGGTGGCAGAAGCTGCAACAAAGCGCTTCAGCCTGTCAGTGGAGTAGCCCCACCTTGCCCCTTAACTTTGACCAGCAGGTCATGGCTCAACCAGGGTGGTCTCGTGTCCTCCTTGCCCGTTTTCCTACATGGGGGGATTGTGATCTATAGAGAGCAGCCTTAAAGATCTGCCAACTTTGTTCCCCTCCCTTACCCCTGAGGGCCATTTCCCACGGGGTCCTGTTTACTAACTCCTCAAAGAGCTGGAAGTTGGCTTTCTTAAAATTTAGAGTCCTAACTTTGCTTCTCGTGGGCTTCAAACTCCTTAGGACAGTGAACTGCACTAGGGCATGAGCGCTGCAGCTCAGGCTGCCTTCAACTTTGACATCCCTGATGATTTCGCTGGCAATTCCTGCCGCCGGGGCGGGGAGGGAGGAAAGTGGGTTGAGGGAGCCGGGGGCGGCTGTGCGAGGGGACCCCAGCGGCTCTGTCGTGCCCCCTCTGTCCCTGTGACTGCCGCTTGTGGCCCCCAAAACAAAAAAAGAAGGTCAAAATTGTTTATTAATTAAAAAATACATCACTGTTTGACCAGCAGCTGTCCCTGCCTGGCTGCCCGGGTGCTGGGTCTGTCCCGTGGGGGCCTCGGTGTGTAGGAGAGGTGATGGCTGGACGCTGGCTTGTGCAGCCTGGGCTGGTGCTCTGCTGGCCCTGGCAGGGGGGCAGGAGAGACCAGAGTGAGCCGGGGTGGCATGGAGCTGGGGGACATGGGTGGGGAAAACCCAGCACCCCACAGTCCCCTTCACACCCCTGGGATCCTCTCCCCAGGCCTGCCCCAGCCATACCCTCTTTGCCGGCGGGCACAGGCTCATCCAGCTGGACCCTGGAGGTGCGGCTGTCCTTGGCCAACAGGTCCGCCATGTTGCACTGGGAGGCAGAGAGCGGGCTGGCTGAGCAACGGGGCCGAACGCAGCGTCCCCAGGCAACCCTCCCACAGCCAGCTCTCCCTGGGGAAACTGAGGCACGTTCCCCCCACAGGCTTGGCCTCAGTCACCCCCGCCCTATCCCTACCTCTGTCATCCCTACCTTGTTGGGGAGCATGAGCGGCTGGAGGCGCCGGGGGGGAAGGAGGCCCTGGCGGCGCTGCAGTGGGATGGTGACCGTGTGCCGGCCCCCACAGCTCCGAGGCACGGTGGGGTATTTGCCCTCGACTGGTGGCTCCCTGTGGGATGGGACCAGCACAAGGATGCTCAGTGCCCGGCCCCACAGACCCCTCCGCCCTCACCATTAAGGGCTCTCCCTCGTCAGGGCAGGGCCAGCCCGCACCCCAGGGAGCAGGGATGGGTCCCCATGGCCCCTACCTGTGGCCTTGCTGGTCTCCTTGCTCCAGCCTGGGAGTGGTACTGGGGGGCTCGGCGAGGCAGGGGGACAGCGGCGGCAGGGATGGGACTGTCACGATTTGCCTGGGGAGGGCAGGAGTCGAAGGTGGGTGACAGGGGAGAAATGAGCTACCCTGGCTTGGGGCAGCACCCCAAAACCCACGGGCTTGTAGCCCACAGCCCTCCCTTGCCATCAGGGGAGGGCTCCCTGTCCCCCCCACTGCCAGGCAGGGCTGCGAGGGGGCTTGGCAGCGTTGGACCACCCAGGTACCCACCCCCCCACCCACCCCCCAGCATCCATCACCCCCCATCCCACCAACGGTGCTGGGTGCTACTCACGGGCCAGGCACCCGCATGTCACGGGGTCGGTCGCAGGACAAGCAGTGGTGATGGGTCAGCTGGCTGGAGGGGGGAGAAAAGGGCTGGGTGAGCTTCTGGAGGGGACACAGACAGGCAGCAGCGAGGTGTCCCCAAAGCTGACACTGTCCCCATCGCACTCACCTCTTAGTCCCAGCTGCGTCATCAGCCTCTGCTCGTGACTCCTTCTGGAGCTGCTTCTGGATGTTCTTCCAGTGCCCCTCCAGCTGTTTCCGGAAAGCCCCCAGCTCCGTGTGATCCAGCTGTGGATGGGTGCATACCCTCAGCCAGCTGCCCTGAGATGGGACATTGCGGTCCCCAGGTGGGACAGCAGAGGACCCTCAAAGGGATGCCAAGCCCCAAAGGTGCCAGTTTGGTGTGGCAGAGATGAGCCAGCCCTCACCTTGGAGGCCACCTCTTCACTAAGCTGTTGCTGGACCTTCTCCTGGTCCATCTGCCGGCTCAGCATCTCCTTGACTGTCTCAGTCAGCCGCTCCATCCTGGTGTCAAACTCGCTGCGGTTGACTTTGCCGGCCAGGGTGGTTTTGTCTGCCTTCTAGAAAGGGGGAAAGGCAGGAGAATGGTGGGGAAAGGGTGGAGGTAGCATGGGCAGGGCCAGCTTGTGTCGGGAGGAGAGGGAAAAGCGGCTACATGGCCCTCCTCGCCCTGTCACCCCAGTGGGGCTGGTCCCAGCAGCCTAAGGGACCTGGGAGGAAACAGAGGGACCTAGCAAGGGACAGGCCGCTGGTCTGGAAGTCCTCCCTCCCCTGGCTGCTTCTGCCACTGAGCAGCCAAGGGACAAGGGGTGATTGTCACCCTGCCAGGGAGCCTTGAGGCCATACCACATCAAGTCCCAGCACCAGGTCGTTCTTGTCTGCCTTCTCCTTTGCCAGCTTCTCCAGGGACTGGAACAGAGCCTTCCAAAGCAGAAAGCACCCCATGATGCCATGGCAGGGTTGGAGCTGCCTCCCAGCCAGCCCAGCACCCCCCGCCTCCCCATCCCCCTCAAAAACCTCCAGGAAAGGGACAAATCCCTTGCGGTGCCCAGCCTGGGCTCTGCCGGGAGGAAGCTTGGACCCTGTGGGGGTTTCAGCCACCTACATCAGTATCCTTCTGCTGCTGCTGACTGTCGTGCAGGAGGGTCTCCATGACGGTGTTGAGCTGTTCATAGTTCCCTTGCACCTGCACGATGGTGGTCTGGATGCCCTTCAGCACCTCCTTCTCCTGCTTCAGGGAGGAAGATGACAAGGTAGTGTGCTGTGCAATGGGGTTAACGTTGCTAACCTGTACAAGCCAACTTGAGGAGCAATGAGGGCTCCCTTCCCTCCATGTTACAGCACAGCACAACCAACGAGGGGGGGTCACAGCAGCTCCCTCCCAAGCCCCCCACGTAGGCATCTCCCTACCTGGCTCTTCTTTTGCAGCTGCCTCACGGCCTTGCCCACCGCCTGCTGGGACATTAGGGAGTCCACCAACTCCTGCAGCTTCTCGTAGCGCTGCAGAAGCTGCCCCAGCTGTGCTCCAGTGTCCCCGGGGCAGACAGGGCACGCAGCCTGAATCCCTTCCTTCTCCTGCCCCACGCTCTCAATAGTCTTCAGCTTGTCCTGCTGCAGGAAGGGGAGAAGAGTGCGCTCTGAGATGGGATGGTTGCAGCCAACAAACCTCCGTGCTGTGGAGGCTCCATGGCCCCAGCCAGCCCAGGTGAACCTCATGAGGTTCAAGAGGAGCAAGTGCAAGGTTCTGCACCTGGGCCAGAACAATCCTCGCTATCAATACAGACCAGGGGCTGAGGTATTAGAAAGCAGCCCTTAAGGAAAGGTACTTGGGGGTGCTGGTGGATGAGAAGCTGGCCATGAGCAGGCAGTGGGCACTTGCAGCCCAGAAGGCCAATCACATCCTGGGCTGCATCAAGAGATGCATTGCTAGCAGGTCCAGAGAGGGGATTCCGCCACTTTGCTCTGGTGAGACCTCACCTGGAGTACTGTGTACAGGGCTGGAGCCCTCAATATAGGAAGGACATGGACCTGATGGAGCAGGTCCAGAGGAGGGCCGCGAAAATGATCAGGGGGTTGGAGCAGCTCTGCTATGAGGACAGGCGGAGGGAGCTGGGGTTGTTCAGCCTGGAGAAGAGGAGGCTCTGGAGAGACCTAATAGCGGCCTTCCAGAACATGAGGGGGGCCTACAGGAGAGCTGGGGAGAATCTGTTTATAAAGGCCTGTAGTGACAGGACGAGGGGTAATGGCTTTAAGCTGGAGAAGAGCAGATTAAGATTGGAGACCTCACCTGTGCCTGTGTCCTCTCAGCCACCTCTGTCCTCAACTGTTTCAGCGTGGCCTCCGTTATGTCCTGGTGCTCCCCCAGCTCCTTCAGCTCACGCTTCATCTTCTCTAATTCCAGGTCCTTCAGCTCCAGGACTTCCTGCTTCATTTCCTGCAGTCCAAGGCCCTTCAGCTCCATCACCTCTTCCTTCACCTCCTTCAGCACAGACCTGACCAGGGAGATGAGGGCACAGGCAGCCTTAGCCTCCCTGGGTCCGCTCTGAGGGGTGTCCCTCGTGCCCCAAACCAGAATGCTCCCAGCACTCCAGGCTCCCACCAGCAGCCCCACACAGTAGGAAACCCTCTCCCATCCTTTTACCCCAGTTGCAGGGCGATCTGGTAGCTGCTCTCTGCTTTCCTGTCTGCTCCAGACACCCACAGCTTTCCAAGGGCATCCTCCAGCTGCCTGATCTGGGAAGAGCGATGGGGGCAGAGTCAGGGCATGGTCCCCTGTGTCATCCCAGCACGGGGGCCCTTCAGCTGCCCCCTCCCTGCCCAAATACCACACAACCCCCCGGCATCCCCACAGCCCCATCGGGGACTACTGCCAGCTCACCTTCTCCTTCATTTCCTGCAGGTCACTGGCCAGGCTCTGCAGGGAGAACTCTTGACCCCAGAGGGCAACGCTCTCTTCATCTAGAGGGACATGGTCCAAGGGGACATGCTGTCAGGGAGGGGATCTCCCCCTTGGGGCCAGGCTCTGAGCACAATGAGCCCCCGAACCAGGGTCTTCCCACACCAAACACACCCCCACCAGTCCCCTCAAGGCTCTCACCTCCCTCTGGGAAGAGCAGGTGCGCATCCTCATCCTCTGTGTAATCGGACTTCGTGGCTCCCACATCGGACACCTGCTCTTTCAGCTGCCCAAAATGGTGGAGAGCCTCCACCGTCACCACGCCATAGTCAGAGGCACGGCCGGAGGGTGAGGACTCCCAGGGCATGGCTGGCACTTGTAAATGGGACATGTCAGGGGATCCTGGCTGCACTTCCAGGCTGAGGGTCTGGCTGCGAGGCAACTCTGGTGGCTCCCCTGGGGTGGCTATCTTGATGCCAGGGAGGGCTGGCTCCATCCCTGGAGGGCTGAGTTGGGTGCTGGGGAATACTGGCTGCTTCCTCGGGCTGGAGCTCTGAGTGCCACGGGACCCTGGCTGCTCCCCTGGGGTGGCTATCTTGATGCCAGGGAGGGCTGGCTCCATCCCTGGGAGGGGGAGTTGGGCGCTGGACGATCCAGGCTGCATCTCTGGGGTCACGGCACTGGCATCAGAAGCCCTCCTTCCATCTGAAGGAGTGCCTGCCACCTTCTCAGGGATCCCTGGTGCTCTGCGTGTCCCTGCTTGCGTCGCATCAGAGCCAGGCTGGGTCCCTGGAGTCGCCTTGCTTGTGCTGGGCACAGGACCACCCTTTGGTCCTGGTGTGGAGCTTGCCCCATGCTGGCTGTCCACATCCACCTGGGGGAGCTTGGAAGGGGCAGACCAGAGCCCAGTGTCCTCCTGGGGAGAGGAGGCAAAAGGGAACAGGTTTACAGGCAGCCATGCAGCAGCGAGGCCTGACCCCAGGCCCTCCTGCCACGTCCCCACTCCCTGTCCCCAAACCACTGCCTCACGGGGCCAAACACAAGCCCACCGTGAGAACCCCAAGGCTAAGGCTGCCCACCCCACGCAGACCCCCTGGTCCCATGGCCACAGCTGCCCGGGCCCTCCCCAGCCCCCTTAGTGCTTTGGTGGCCTCTGGGCTGGCAACACTTGAGCAGCCGAGCCCGGGGAGCAACAACCCCCCCCCCCGACTCCCCAGGCCACGGCAGGGAGCAAGGGGATTTGGTGCTCCACACCTGCTGGACCAGACCCGCTTCCCAGCGCAAAGGACCGTGCCTTGTGTCTGAGGAGCAGCCGCCCCAGGTGGCATTTGGAAACCATCTCACAGTGCCAAATGCTGGGATCTGCCCCCTCCTTCTCCCGCTTTGTTGCCCACCAGGCAAGCCATCCCCCACCACCTCCCAGCCCGCCATGCTGCTCACCTCCTCCGGGATTGGGCTGAGCTTCAGCCTTTCCTTCAGCCTTTTCTGGGGAAGGAAGGGATCAAGGAGTCAGCTCAGCCGTGTAGCTGGGGGGGGATGGCACCCTCAAGGACAGGACCCCCTGGCATCACTGCCCAGCACCACCAACCCATGGACCGTGCCCTGACACAGGAGGGCTGGTCGCCTCAAGAAGTCAGGGATGCAGCTACCTCCTGTCCTGCTGCAGGACCCAGGCCTGATTCCGGCCACACTTCATCGTAATTCCGCTTCTGGTTGCGGTGGCCTGGCAGCTGGCTGGCAGTGTCCTGGCGTTTCCCCTGGAGCTGGGAGAGAAAAGAAACACCAGCCTGGATGTGGGAGCAGGATTTAAAAGGAGCACCCAGCACAAATTCCCTTGAGCACAAGACAGAGGGACGCTGGGCAGGGCTGTGGCTGTATTGCCTGGGCCAGAGTTTTATCTCCCTCCTTCCCAGCTCCCACCTGTCTCTTTTTATGGCTCTTTGGTTCCAAAGCACCTGAGCATCCCTTTGGTTGATGCCTGCAGTTCCCTCTACCTGCAGCCTGACCTGCAGCCAGCGGTGCCCATTTCTGCCCTCCCCGGGGCAGTGCTGGCGGGCAGAGAGGGGGGTCTAGGAGCGTTGGGCTGAGCTCTCCTGCTCCCCTCCTTGAGACACCCTTTCCAGTCTTTGTTCCTGGTGCTCCCCCCTCTAGGGGACACCGATGGCTGATGGCCGCAAGGCAGGGGCTGGGGTGGGCACTGGGAGAAGGAGATGGGAGGGGGCGAGGGCCCAGCTCCCTCTCGGGGGCACCAACAGCAGCTCACCAAGCCAAGCGCCTCCTGCATCGTCTGGATCTCCTCTTTCATGTGGGACCGTGCCGCCTTCGTTGCGCCAATCTCCTCAAGGAGGTCCTGGGGGAGAGCCGTGGCCTGGGGGAAGGGGTGCCAGGGATGAGCCCCAGAAAAGGGTCCCTGGGGGAAAGGGGTGCCAGGGATGAGCCCCAGAAAAGGGTCCCTGGGGGAAAGGGGTGCCAGGGATGAGCCCCAGAAAAGGGTCCCTGGTGTCCCTGGACCCCAAAAGAGGGGACATCTCACGGGGGAACACCCAGGGGATCGGCAAGAGCCTCTACCTTGGAGATGCCGCTCTCAGGTGCTTTGATTTCGTCCTTCATCCAGCCCACCTCCGTGGCCACAGAGGCGAGCTGGGGGCCGCTCGTGGTCTCGCTGAGCGAGTCCTTGCTGGGCAGCTGCTCTTTGGGCTCCTGGGGCTGCTGCCCCGTGCCCTGGGCCTTGTCCCCCTCTTTCTGCAGTGCAGGGGGTGCCTCGCTGGGCTGGTCCTCCTCCAGGAGGGGGGTCACGCTGTCCCCCTGCTTCTGGGCAGCCAGGTCCCGCAGGCGCAGGTGCCCGAGCATGGCGAGCAGCAGGATGCGCAGCGCCGTGAAGTTGACGGCCCCGTTGTTGGGCGTACCAATGGCAAGGTCCAGCAGCTGATACAGGTTCTGCTGGGCCATCGTTTCTGCCCTGACCGAAGGCACAGAGGGACCTGAAGTGGACAGGAGCCCTTGTGCCTGCGGCAAAATGGAACCGGAGGAAAAACGGACGGTCAAAACCTTCCTCTTCGTCCTCCTCGGTCACCTACTCACAACAGAGTGATCACACCGGTGGCAGGACAGCTGACAAGACTGACAGGGGACAATGCAGGGCGGGACGGGTGACAAGGGACAATGCAGCGTCCCCTGTTGCTCGGCGACCACCTGGCCCCTGGAGCGGCCGGTCCCTGCCCCGCTCCCGGCCAGTCCTTGGGATGAAGGTATTTATCCATAGGGACGGCAGACGCCGAGGATCCCGCCTGCCTTTCCCACCTTAATGCCCATCAGCTGGCGCAGGCTGATCTTGCTCCATCGCAGGGTAAGCATCCCTGACAAGGAGGGACGAGCCTGTGAGGAGACAAGACCTGCCGGTCACACAGCCTGCTCCGGGCTCAAGCCACCCAGGAGAAGACCAGTCCTGGCAACGAAGCAACTCAATTCCTTTTTCTATTTTTTTTTGAGGTATCCAAAAGCATGAAAAATTTTGCCCTGTCCCTTAGACGTGGGAATGGCAGAAGGCTGCTGCTGACAGCATCAACACACAGCCCTGTCTTGCTCCAAAGCAAAGAGCTGCATAAGCAGGGAAAAATAAATGCAGATAAACACATGCTTCCAGACAAGCTGAGGAAGTATTCAAACACTGGGAAAATCTTTGAACCCGAGTGATCCATCAGACAAGAACTTACAAAAAGAATCAACAAGAACTTCTTTTCTATTCTAACCCTCTAAGTCTGACCATCAGATCATTTTGCTGTTTTTTTTCCCTTTTTGGGGGCTATGAAAGGCAGTCATAGGGATGGAGAGGGCATCACCTGCTCCTCAACAAAAAAACCCCACAAACAAGACACAAACCAACAACCTCGGCCACTAAAGCATGCCCTGAAGTGCCATGTCTACACGTTTCTCGAATAGCCCCAGGGATGGTGACTCCCCCCCCTCCCTGGGCAGGCTGTTCCAGTGTCTGACCACCCTCTCAGTAAAGTAATTCTTCCCAATATCTCATCTAAACCTCCCCTGCCACAACTTCACACCATTTCCTCTGCTTCTGTCATTCTGCCCGTGGGAGAAGAGGCCAACCCCCACCTCTCTACAACCTCCTTTCAGGTAGTTGTAAAGGGCAATGATGTCTCCCCTCAGCCTCCTCTTCACACTAAACATGCCCAGTTCCCTCAGCCTCTCCTCGTAGGACTTGTTCTCCAGACCCCTCCCCAGCTTGGTGGCTCTCCTCTGGACACGCTCCAGCAGCAAAATGTACTTCTTGTAGTGAGGGGCCCAGAACAGAACACAATTCAGAACACCCAGACGAGCTTGTGCCCAAGGGCAAAGAGGGTGCAGCCGGGGCAGGCCTGGGGAGAGGATCCCAGGGGTGTGAAGGGGACTGTGGGGTGCTGGGTTTTCCCCACCCATGTCCCCCAGCTCCATGCCACCCCGGCTCACTCTGGTCTCTCCTGCCCCCCTGCCAGGGCCAGCAGAGCACCAGCCCAGGCTGCACAAGCCAGCGGAGAGCAAGAGGGACTCGTCCAGCCATCACCTCTCCCATACACCGAGGCCCCCACGGGACAGACCCAGCACCTGGGCAGGGACAGCTGGTGATCAAAAAGTGATTTATTACTTAATTAATAAACAACTCTTGACCTTATTTTCTGTTTTGGGGGCCAAGAACGGCGGCCACAGACATGGAGGCTCTGGGCTTCCCTGGGTCAGCGACGGAGCTTTCTGCCATTAAGAGCCACGATGCAGATTTCAAGCACTGCGATGGACGGGCGCTGGCTGCAGTGCTGCGCCCGCCAACTCAGCGCCTCCGACGCACAGGAACACCAGAAGCCACTCAACGCACTCCCATTTAAATGGGGTGGTGATGTACTTAGTCCAAAGTCCTTTCAGAGTGTTCAGTGGCAGCAGTTCAGTGTTCAGCTACATCAGAGCACTGCACAAAGAAAAGCAAAGCATCAGCTCCTGATTCCCAGGAAGGCCAGGGTCGTTACGTACTCCTTGGTAAATTCCTCTGCGAGACACTGAAGCTCGTACAGAAGCTCTGCAGTCACAGCCAAAATTGTGTTCACTTTTCCGAGCGGCCTTTACCTCCTGTTTGTGTGACTTAGAGTTAAAGATCCATTTCTTTCCAGACCATATAGCCAGCAAGCAGGGTAAAGGGGATTTGAAGTCGTGATTTCAAAGGTATGCAAAAGCATTTCTTTGTCAGTGATGGAGTAAAAGGACACAGTTTTCCTTTGTAGCTCCAGAAAAACTCCAACCTTCAATGGTTTATCCTTGTGTAATAATGTTTCTTGATTTCTATGCCATGCTGACAGCTGCTTTTTGGGACCTAGCCACTCTACACACCAGGAATGCTCTGTTCTTCCTAATTTATCCCTTTTCCCAATCATTTCATGGGCAACTCCAACAGCCCATCCATCACTCTCCTTGGTAATTACTTCCCAGTAGTGGCACCCAGCAGAGAAGCTCTGGGAACACATCACTTGGCTGATGCAGAATCTGTTGGGCGATGGTTTGTAATCGATCGGGGAACTGGAAACCATTACTGTCCTGTTCTGGGCTGTGATCACTAAGTGCTTATTTATTCTTGCAACATCAAAAGCCACGTCAGCTGCCCCTAGAAGACAGAAAGGAAAACATTCTCACCTGCAAGCAACAAGAAGACAGATTGCCTCAGAATTTACATGCATCCTCAATAACAGTGGACGTGCACCCCTACTGAAGAACAGAAATGGAAACCAACGGCCATACAATAATCAAAGTTCAATCCCACAAATCAGCAAGAATCCTCAACCAAACACTAACGACTGTATCCTGAGCACACTGAAACATTTAACAGGCACAGCTGAGGAAACACCCATGACAGACTCCTGCACTGCACTGGGAAGGGGAAGGGACTTGGCATCCTACAGGATGGATCTTTTTCCTAAACACAATCTTAGAAAAAAATTACCCTTTTGCCAATAAGAAATCGGATGCTTCCCTCGATAAAACTGACAAAGTCATCTGTTGACTGGGACACGTTCTTGCACACTTTATCAGCAGAAACACTTGTCTTGAATTTTCAGCTGCAGCTGTAAGTTCTGTGTGTTGACTGTAAAATTAGTTTTGTAAAAATGATGCAGAATTCAGACAAACGGAGCCATTACGGCTTAACACAGTAAAGATCAGTAAGGTGCAGTAACTGCCCATACACCAACTCAGACCCTGCAGCCAGCTCAAGCCACAACGCAGCTTCTATCCCTCCACAAAACAGGTTTCTGATCCTTTTTCTCTCGCATATGCAGTCAGGAACAGTATGGCATCGTGCTGCAGTAACTCATGAATTCATGGTAACTTCACTGTGCTTCTAAGCTCTGGGTAAACAGCCAGATCTCCTGTTAATGCTCATAAGTAAGAGTTTTCTTCCACAAATCCAGCGTCTCATAGTCACTTGAATATTGTTATTGAAGAGTCACACCGGCTTGCATACTTACACTGAGAAATTTGGCTTGAAATCATCGGTTCTGGATTTCTAGCTGCAGACACTGGAGATAATGAGCAGACACTTGTCTCCTGATACAAGTCTGGAGGTTGCACTAAAGACAAAGAAATTAAAGCGTTAAGGTACTTCTTTAAAGTGCAAATAGGAAGAATTTATGCTTCTAAAGGAAAACAGACATAAAATAAACCTAGCTAGTGGTTAAAGTACAAAAGAAAGAGTTGCTTTTTTGATTCTGTAAGTTATCAGAGGATGTGTTGGCAAACATATTTTACCCATTTTTATCCAGCATTTTTGGGTTTTTTTCTGAGTATCTTGTGTTCCTTGCACGTGCAGTTCCTAAGCACAAAGTATTTTTTTATTCTAATTGCTGACCAAAACACCTGACATTCAGCCCTAGAGCTTTAAGGGCTGTTTTTCACTTTCTAGGACATTGTAGTGCATATTTGCAAGACTCATTTACAGGCACTTTCTGGTGTAACTGCATAATACATCAGCTTCATCATGAAGGCCGTCCTTAAAAGTTCCTGCCCCACACTTCCACCAACTGATTCCTCAGTTTTGCTCGTAAAAAGGATCATGGAGGAAAGCTGCACACTCAATTGCTGAAATGATTGAGATATGAAAAACCCTGAGGGAAAAATCCAGGTTTTTGAGAATCGGTGCAGGTAGTTTTGGAAAAGGTGGGAAAGGGAGGCTTGACCCCAGTGGCAGTGGGGTTTTAAGTCAGTCTAAAGTTCCTCTGAAAACACTCAGTGCTCTTCCTCCATGAGAGGGACAGTGCTGGGAGGAGAACTCCATAGCAAGGGACATACCAGGTCTAAAGCTTTGCTTAGACACAAAGCAGTGCCAAAGTGCCCAACTCCTTCCACGGAAGGGACAGAACTGAGGGGGGTCACACGCAGGGCCCTGCTGGATCCACTCCCTCTGAGAAAGAGATTTCAAAATATGGAAAACTCACCTGGCGGGAACTGCTGAGCGTAGTCCAAAAGTAAAATTTCCAACTTTCTCTTAAGATCTTCTACAGCAGTTTTGACAACATTAAGCTTCTCATCAAGTGTCATTTTAGGCTTTTTTGAAGGTGCACCTTTGTACCTCTCTCTCTCAGGTGAGTTATTCTAGTAATGACAGAATCAAGGGGAAGATGTAACCAACAGCAGATGTAACATCTAGCATGTCAGATTATGTTATACAGCCAGAGTGGAAAAAGAGCAGCGATCTCTCTAAAATCTTACTCTTTCTATTGAGATCTTCCTTTGGAGGATAGTTTTCTGTAAGATTTCAGGTTAATGTATCCATATGCATACACAACTTTCTATTTTGAAACTTTCTTCTTGTTCTAGAACCCAAACCAATCGTCTTAAGGTGTATTAGTATGAGATCTAGCATAAAATAAGCAAAAAGGGATATGCTTCATCTGCCTCAAATTAGAAATTGTGGAAATCTACATCTGAGCTTGTTCTCTCACTCTGCCTTGACAGTCTGTGGGAAGAGATGTTCTGAAGGCTTCATTAATCTCACTTGCAGGTAGGTGTCTCAAGCAGGCCAGACGACTCACACGCTCTAAAAGTGCCTGTTTCTCTTCACTGCCTGTAACGGGGCTCTGGATCAGACTGACAAACATAATCACACCAGGAGAATCCTAGCACAAGCCCCTGTGCCTTCCCCTCAAAGTCCACTGCTGCTGCCTGGCACCGTCACACCCAGGGTGCCCCACTCCAAATTCCTGCTAGCTAATTTGCATCGTTGGCATTGTTCTTTTCAACATCAAAACAGGCTCTGCAAAATTGAGAGTGCTTTAACGGCCTCTTTTGAGAGTTCTTGACATTTTTCCCCCAAGAAAGTTGTTAGAAAGTACTTAATAACTTTGTGAGTTCTTTAACTTGCAGACATATGTGTACATACAGATTCTGGAAAACAAAAAGATAATAAAGGATCTTATCTTAACCTTAGATTTGACTCGGGACGGGATTTAAGCAATGCAGTCCCCACTTCAGCTCACCAGCATCCTCAGAACAAACCAAGTTCTGACTTGCATCCCCAGCTTATGCTTTGCTAATACTTGTTCCCTCTGTATTTCTCCCTCCAAACTCCCCCTGGTAACAGGAATGGCCGTGGATTGGAGCACTGTCTCTAGTGAGAACAGTGCAGTGGGGACCTGAAACTGCCCTGTACATTTTCAGCTCTCCAAGACAGTCAGCTTAAGAGTTTCTACTCATATTCTGCCACTTCATCACTTACCATTTGGGCTTTGACGTCTGTGAGCTTGTTCGCTTCACCACAGAGCTGGTGAATAGTCCCTTCAGTTTTCTCTTGAGCTGCTTTTTGCTCTTGTTCAATTAACATCAGTGTGTTTCTCTCCTGTCTGTCAACATATTCCTTCATGCGACAAAAATCTTCAGTAATCTGCCTTCTGATCTGAGATTCGTATTCCTGAAAGGCAGAAAACAAGGAGTTCATTGTGTTGGTTGAAGAGATGTGTGGAATATGAGAGCTTACTGCCCCATCTAATGTGCTCTTTGACTGACTCCTACAGACCAGAAACAGCTACCTTGATTCGAAGGAATAAAATCTATTTGCCACTCTCCTGCATTACCTACAATGAGATTTTGGTTACGTTAAGGATCCTGACTAATTTATGGCCAGCAGTCTCTCCTTGACAACTTAGAAAGATCAGTATTCCCTCTGGATGATTTACATTCTGCACCTAAGAGTTCCAGAAATGTTCAGGCTACTCCTGAGGTGGACAGAAAAAGGAAATGACGCACAGCTCCCGTGGCTTTTGTGCCAGCCAAGACAGGAGTTAGTAGAACTGGTGCCATAGTTTATTCACATCAACAAAAACAGAGTTGTGACAGCAACAGAAGGAAACACCAAGGCAGATCCCTGCTCTGTGCTGGAAGGCTGCGTTGGAGTCGGTCCCATCCACAGGTGGCAGTGGGAACAGAAGCCAACAGTGGGAAGGGAAGCCATCTACAGGCAGTGACTGTACAATGTGAACCTCTGCTGTACTCAGACCTTTCCTCAAGAGGTGGATGGTCTCTTCCTTGGAGATGTCCCACATCTGTTCCTTTTGTCAAGAGACACATTGGACCATTTATCTATAGAACCCCCAAAGAAAGCATGGCTTGGTTGAGCACCAGGATAGTAAAAATCCCTAAATCATTGACATTAGTTAAGCACTGGACTGGTTGAGATGGGGTCTGGAAGACCCCTCAGAATTAATTTTGAGTGGGAATAGTCACAAGGAAGTCAATGTGCAACAGTCATCAATTACACATTCAAATATAATTGTGAGCTTCAGCCTTTTGCTCGACTGCAGAGACTGAAGAAGACTATTTAAATACATACGTGCTAAAATAATGGGGGTCAACAGATTTTTCTCCTCTCCTCCAAGTTTGGGAGTTATTTTAAGCAGACATCTAAGTAATGAACAAGTCCCGTTTTGTCCATTCAGCTGGGTGGAGCTGCAGCACTGCATAGTAACGTTATGTGTCCTCTCAGGAGTCTCCAATGTGATGCTGGTGCAATAAATAACGCCCAGCACAAAGAACGCTTGGTTATTGCTATGGTACATCAGGTGAACGTGCACAAATACCAGTCAGCTGTGCGGTCCTCAGTGTGTCAGACACCACTGATGAACCCCAGGCATGGCTTTACTTGAATCAATCTGCTCAACATCCACGAGATGGTTACGATAATGCCAATGCTACCGTGTGAAACGCAAACACGGGGGCAAAGAGAAAGGGGAAGTTCACTCAATCCCAGCCGTGTCCCACGTTCATGACCCTGGTGAAGTATTTAGTATTGTGGCAAGAGTGGTTCCGGGGGGTGCCGGGGGAAGGAGCCCCGGGGGGTGCCAGGGGGTGCCAGGGGAAGGAGCCCCGGGCTGTCCCGGGGGAAGGAGCCCCGGGGGGCGCCGGGGGGTGCCGGGGGAAGGAGCCCCGGGGGAAGGAGCCCCGGGAAGGAGCCCCGGGAAGGAGCCCCGGGCGGTCCCGGGGGAAGGAGCCCCGGAGGGTGCCGGGGGGTGCCGGGGGAAGGAGCTCCGGGGGAAGGAGCCCCGGGGGGCGCCGGGGGGTGCATCCGGCCGTACCTTCTCCTGTGGTTGCCGCCCCACCGAGCTCAGGTCGCTGCAGGGAAGGGCTTCGCAGGGTTTCGTTTCATCCCGCGTTTCCAGCTCTTCCTCCTTTACCACCTCCGAGACCAAGCTCACCAAAGCGGCCAGCTCCCGGTTGGGCCGCAGGTCCTTCTCCTGGAAGCCCTCCCGGCAGAGCGGGCATGAGGCGCGCAGCTTCCCCCGGCAGAGCGGGAGGAGGCAGCCCCGGCAGAAGCTGTGGGCGCAGCCCGCCAGCAGCACCGGCTCGCTGAGGAACTGCAGGCAGAAAGCGCACCTCAGCTCCACGGCCTCCAGCAGCCGCTCCACGCTGACAGCGGCGGCCATGGCCCGGCCCGGCCCGGCCCGGCCCGGCCCGGGGCGGAGCGGAGCGGGGAGGAAGGCTCGGTTTCGTTTCCCCGGGGGCGCCTCCTCCCGCCGGAGCCGGGAGAGCGCCGGGCGGCGGCGGGACCGGGCGGCTCCGCTCCGCCCCTTGCTCCGGTCCCTCTCCCGGGGCAGCTCCCGGCCCGGGTCCGCCTCCGCTGGGGCTTGGGCCGGGGATTCATGGGAGGAAGGAGCCGGGAGGCGGAGCTCGCCGTGACCTGGCCTTGACTTTTACTGACTCGCCAAAGAAAGGGCACGATTTCATTTTCAGAGGGAATTTCCCGGGTTTGTCAGGGGTCACGGCAGAGCTGCTGACCGGGCTGGTCCCACTGACCCATCCCGGGGAGCAAGAGCCCCCGGTCCTGGCAAGATCAGGCTACGAGGACAAAAGATCAGGCTACGGGGATGGACTCATCCTGGGCTACTCAGCTCATCTCAAAATAACAATTAACATATGCCAAACCACACAAAGCTTGACGTTGTCCTTCGTACAGATCAGAAGGTGCTTGGCTATCGATTTCAAGGGCTGCAGGATGAGGTTGTTACAAAGATCTGAACCCAGGTGTGAGGTAGAATGAATCGGGCCGCGTGGGGAGAGCGGGAGGATGGGGAAGTTCATGGGAGCACATCAGCAACACCACTGCTCAGGCTGCTCAGAGCTGGGTGGTGATGAGCTGGCCCAAACAGGCAGAACAATGATCCAACACAATTCTTCTGCACTCAGGGGGGAAGAGTTAATCTCACTAATCCCTGCAAGTATTGGCAATTCCTCATTTCTGCAGAAGAGAACTATTCTGACTCTCTCAGACTGGCTGGCAACTGCCAGAAAAAGGTAGAAGCCTCAGCAGAAACTTAGTCTGCAGGACTTCCTCTTGATTTGCAAACTAAGGCTATCTGAAAATAAAAGATCTGAATGACTGGCTGCTTGGCAGAACCAAATCTCAGGCTTGGTCTTGAGGCAAGAAAATGCTCATCGCAGTATCAGCCAACGCAAACCTGCACCAATTCCTGCCCAGAAGGGATGCTCCACCCTCCACTGCCAGTGCTGGACCTCATTCATTGGGTGTCTTCAAGCAAATCACCAAAGAGAACACTTTTAAAACTACTTTCTGTCTTTCAACACTCAGACTCATTAAGCTTCAGCTGTTTATTAGGAGGCGAGACAGATCACCATGTGTTTTTCTCAATGAGTCCTCTTAAGGCGTTGATCCATTCCTGCTGCTCCAGGTCGTTGTTACACATAAACACAAACGCTCTCTCTGGTGTGACCACGGTGATCGCTGGTTTCCTCTTCTCCACCCGGACTCCCTCGGGGAAGCCAGCTCGCACTTCGTATCCATCACCCATCGTCCCAATAAAAACCTGGCCCTGTGCAAACGTGTCCTAGGAAGAAGGAAGCAGAAGACAGCCCTTAGCCAGAGGACTCACAGCTCCAGCAGACACTCTTCTACCCTTTGACACGGAGTGGGAACTGGGGGTGCCTGAAGGGGACACCCATTTGGTGACAGGCAGCAGGAAACACTGGGGTATTTTTTACACTCGTGGGCATTCCCAGAAGGAGGAGGAAGGGACCCACCCTTACCCAGCTGGTTGGTGGGTGTTCAGAAGGAGCAAGGAAAGATATTCCCGTGACTAGAGCAGTTCTAGGAAGCAGGATCTTGGGGCTGCCAAGCCTCTCTTATTGCCATATTGCTCATCTTGCCCAAGGTCACAGGCACAATGGCAACCAGGCTGGGAGAGACTATAAACACTACAGGCTGTGGGCTATCAACACTACAGGCAGGAGCAGCTACTTTTAAAAGACTTAGATCTTCTTAACAGTCACTGTAAGGGCCAGAGTTCCCAACCAGCTCAGCTTCAAGGAGATCCATTGACAAGGGAGATGAGCTCTTGAGACTGAGCCTGCTCCAGTCTTGTGCAGGCACTGGAAGAGCTGGATGAGAACAGACCCTTCCTCCCCACCCAGTGGCACGAAAGGGCTTGTGGAATAGTGAAGAATGCTCCTCTTACCAGCGGATCTTTAAAGTACTGCAGGGTCCTTTTTTGGGAGTCCAGGCAGAACCAGTGCTGCTCAAAGGTCTCCTTTTGCTGCAAGGAGATGGTAGAAGTTCTTTAAAGACCAAGGTCCCAAAGGGGAGTTTGGCCTGTCCCTGGCAGATCCCCGGACTGCTTAAATGGCTCAGAGCTTGGGTTCAGTTTCATTCACCCCTGTAACTGGTAAGGGGTGAGTCACTGCTGTGTGTGGCCCTCAGCTCCCCTCCACTTCGGTTCATGCTTGAGATTTGCATTCAGTGACAATCCTTCAGGGAAGGCAGGGAAGTCTGGTTCTACCAGTGACCAAATTACCAGGATTAAGAAAGGTAATTAATGGATTAATTGAAAGCGCTGCAGACAATGATCCCCAGGCCAGTAGCGATAATGGAGAGTGTGCAAAAAATTTCAGCATTTTGGTTTGGGGGGCTGGCCCTGGCATTGCAGGATATACAATGGTAGGGACAAATCGTAGTGGTTTTTTAGAAAGTGCTAATTCCATCAGCTACACTCATCTGACTGTTCCTTGAGCTACTCATTCCTCTGTGCTGAACCGAAGGGTCCTTTTCTAGAGCTCGCTTCAGTTTGAGCAGAATTTAGGCCTCAGGAGAAAAACACATAATGTTTGTGTTTTTCACAGATATGCTTATAGCTGCGAGTATTCTCTGGGCAAGTACCTGCATGAAGATGTACCTGGGCACCAGCATCGAGCTGGGCCAAAAGCCCAGCATATTCAACATCAGCATTTCACCTTTAAACTTTTTAATGGGACTTGGGCTCATGGTTCACTCAGAGGAGAGCAAAGCAAGAAATGGCAATGTTCAAACAAGACCTCAGATCTTTATCTCCTCCTTTCAACAGAGCCTGAAGTCTCCCTCGCCTGTTCCAAGGAGTAGCAGCCCAAATACCCAAAACCCAAACCACACCATAGGCTTCACGGCAGAGAATTTGCTCAATCATACTTTGCTGCTATAAGCAGATGTGACATATATGCTACTGACTTTAAGAGAAACAGGGAAGTAGGAGAGTCAGCATGTGATTTTCTGTTCTAGCAGGAGCTGCAGTTCTAAGCTGCAGTTAGCAGATACAGCAACCCATTTAGCGTTGCGTAACAGGCTTAGCTCATCCACAACCAGCTAATCCCTCTTGCCTACTCTTCAAGGAAGATTCTTCTTCCCAGTCTTATTTTCCACACAAAATAAAACATGAACCCAAAGAACACAACAGGCTTGAATATAGTGTCTTTTACCGACCCAGGAAGCATATAGTCACTCAATAAATTGTTTACTAGTAAACATAATAGAATTATCAAATATTCTCCATCTCTTTTGTGTACTGTCAAGTATGCACTTACTTTTGGTTCAGTTTTCCCCATATATCCTTCTTTGATGTAACTTCTTGTGATCCTGCGTATGAGCTAGAACACAAACACACACAAAAACCAAAGTCTGTCTCATTCAAGCTTGCTTTCCTGTTCTGCTTCTGTCAAAGCTAATCACCAATTTTGGCTTTTGAGACCTGGGGATTTTTTTGGCTGTTCAGTAAAGGGAAGTATGAAATAAGAAGGAACATATGATTTTTGAAAGATTACAGTTTAAAAAGACCATATGGAAACCTTTTGGCCTTAAACATTGATAACCTTTTTGCATGTTATCCAGTATGGCCTTCCCTCAAGCCCTCTTCAGTTCTCACCTCAGTCTCAGGGAAAGCTGGGAAGGATGTTCTGAGATAATGGTAACGTGCTGCTCGAATGGCATTGAACCAGTCAACGATCTCCTAGGAAAAACAGCAAATACAAACATAAAGACAAGAATAACAAGAGGGAGTAAGAGTGCTGCCTCTTCAAAACGCCTTTCTCCTTCCTTGTGACCTCTTTGCAAAGATGTACTTTCTCCCCAAGGGGCAAAGAGAGTCAGTGACTTGCCCAGATATTCAAAAAACATTGAACCTTCAAAATAATTTAAAAATTCCCCTTCAGGGAGGTCCCAGACATTCTCAGCATGGACAGTCACCCAAGTCTGTGTACACAGGCTTTTTCAGTTGATTCAGTTATGGATTGTTTAAAAACCTTTGTACCTAGGAAGACTTGACAACTATGGCAAGGGAAGAAACAGAAATTGAACAAAAGCTGTAGACATACTTCTTCAAATTATCCAAGCAAATTGTTTGCTTGGAAATAATGCAGAACAACCAGAACAACAATATTTTCTATGTGTGTCAAGAAGGCTTCAAAGAATATAACCACAGAATTGTATAAAATCTGTAGACAGTTACCCTACAGAGATTTACATACAGTGCCCCACTGAGGGCTTAAAACTATTCAGGGCATGGAGTTGAATATATACCCCAATAGAACAGGATCAAGATGTCATAGTTTAATTAGTGTCAAATTCTGCAACTTTCTATATTCCACAAGTCATAGTGACCTCAAATAAAATCAGATCCTGCAGAAACAGTGTACCTCTTCCAAAATATAGATCCAACATTTAAGCACCTTGCTTATTCCAAAATCTCCATGGTATTCACCTGTCCACTTTCATGATAGACAAAAAGGTTCCTTGTTTGACCATCTGCACTGTATGTGATCTGCAGCCCATGAGCGTGTTGCATTTTCTGTGTCTGGAACATTGCATTCAGATCCTCAATGCTGACAATGGCTTTTGGATCTCCGAACTGTGAAATGAAAAGCATCACTGTATTAAAGTGCTCTCAGGGAAGGCAATGGAGGACAGATTAGCTGTATGAGAACTAGATCCCTACTGAAGAGAAAGCAGGCGTCCTAAAATATCTGAATATTCCATGTATCTGAAATATTAAGCCTTATTTACATGCTACATAAAATCACTTACAAAGAGTGACTCCCTTTCCTTGACAAATGCTGGGTGACTCTTTGAGAGGGATGTGTCTGACTTGAAAGAGCTGGGTTCTATCTCCAGCCTTATAATTGGACAACAATTTGCTACACTCTCCCCCAGAAGGAAGACAATGATGCTGCAGCAGCTGATGAGAGAATATTTTGGTAATATAAGAGGTAACAGCTGCTAACAGATCCCTTTTTCACCTTCGTATTCAACTGCCAATACCCATTTCCTTTGTTCACTAAGCAAGAAGAGGCTGCAGGGTGAAGATAACAGATGCGGAAAAGGGCTAAATCCAAAAGAGCAATTCCCTAAGATATCACATATGTTAATGGGGAAACATCTGAGCTGCTCCAACACAGGCTGGTCTGGCTGCAAAACTAGAGACAAGGCTATTGGTGCTGGATTTTGCCCATGAAGAGCAGAGTTCGAGGGTAGGCGGTGACCAACTACCTATGGTCAACTCTGGCTGAGGAACTCACTTTGGTGTAGTACTTCATTACCCCTTCCCTTGCTGACAGGACAAATCGCCTCTTCCGGAACCGTTTGATTTTCCGCCCACACTTCCAGAGGAATCCTTCACGGGTACCTGCAGATGGGACCAAGGCAAGAGTCAGAGAACGGTGATGTGGCAGAGGTTCAAGTCTCTCCTCCAGCTGAGAATTTTTACCTCATATGAAAAATTCAGTGGAGAACTAGAGAAGTGTAAGATCTGAATACACCCTTGCACTTGTCTAAGCGCCTTTTCTTAGGAGCTTCTTCTCAAAGTTAGACTCAAAGCAAGGCCTGCACATCCAACAGTTCAAATATGACAAGCCAACCTTAAAACGTCTTCAAAGTTGCAAACAGAAAACTGCATTGTTAGCCTTAAGGCTAACACCTTTTCCCTGGCAATCCTAACTTTTACCTGCAGAACAAGGATCTTGGCAGATTCGGGCGGCAACAAATTCCTGACGCTCATATTTAGCTCTAATCCATTGCTCTTTTAAAATCCTGAAAGAGGAAAACAGGGATAAAGCTGATCTGCCTCTACTCTATTTTCACCGTCCAGCCAGAGAGACCTGTAGAGGGAAGCAGTAGGTCAATAGCTGTAAAGGTCTGCAGCAGCGGACACACCATCAACTTACCAGCAGTCATGAGACTGGGGGATGTAATAGTAGGGAGGGACATTCGCCTCATATATAGCTTTGGCACAGAGATTCCCGTGCTCCTTCATAAACTGAAATACAAAAGAAGCTACAGTTAGGTGTGCAACTACAAAATCAATATCATGTCGTAAACATAAAATGAAACTTGTATCAAAGGGAGCACTGCACTTTTTGCTCAGTCTCGACATACTCCCAGTGTGTCTCTACACGTTTATATAAACTCCCTTTGGCACTGTATCTTGCACTTCTTAGGTGGCTGAGCCTTTTTTAGTATTTACAGTTCTGAACCAGATAGGAAGTAACACAAGATTGTGGTTGTTGACTAAAAGAACAAAGAAAAACAAGAAGAAAAATTATTTATGATCTCCCTATACCTTTATCTCCTCCTAGACATTAACTGTGATTATATTGTTAACACAACTCAATTGAAAGATGAGAGGCTGAACCAATATTTAAGGAGAGTATGTTGATTACTGAGTAGAACATGCTATCTGGAAATATCTGTGGGCTTCTAAACCACTGTAAGGAGTTACTGTGTGCTATAAAAAAAACACACTAAGGACTGTTAGAAACATGGTCACTTATCAGTGTAATATGATTAAGAAGGTCACAAAAAAACCCCTAAAGTTACCCATGGATTAACTTGGTTCTCTGTGGCTTTGTTCCTCTGTCCATGATGGACCACAAAAGAATTATGAGGCAGAGGTTATGATGAAATGTGGAGAAAAGTAAGTGAATTACTGCTGTCTCCTCTGTACCTCTATCTGGTCAGTCTCCCAGAAGTCAAGCTGAAGCGATTTGACCCTGTTGAGTAGGGGAACACTGCGGTGGATTCCAGTGCAATTTAAACAAAGGAATATTCCAAGTCTGTAAGAAGCCCACTGTGGATCTAGATACAAACAGAAAGAATAAAGTGATAAATGGGAAAAAGCACATCTGATGTAAAGCCCAGGCTCCACACATAATAAATTAAATCCCTCACCATTGTTTATGGCTGTCGCTTCACTGTATTCAGAGGAACAGAACCTGCTTTCCCCAACGAAGAATGTGGGCCCTGCCTTTGTAGGCTCTTTCACCGACTACTTGTTTAAAAATTAATGTTGACTGTGCAGGCAGCCAACTGGCGATGTAAAAGCTCAGCTAATTATTAGTTCTGCATGGAAAACTGCTGTTGCTGAATTCACAGTGGAAAGAAGTTGCAGACAGTGAGCGCTACTAAGAGTACAAGAGAATACAACCACCCAGAGCGAGGACTCAAGCCCACGGCCCGCGAAAGCTCCTGCTCTTGCCTGCTGCTGCATCCCCTGAAGCGGCTTGAGAGATTGATGCTTAGAGGCATTCGGAGTGCTCTGGCACGACTGTTTCCTTAGAGCACCACTTTCACCATGTCACCCTGCGCTTCTCCCTTATCATAGCAAGCAGAAGCTACTTATCCTCTTCTTCCAGCTGCTGTAGGCTACCGATTGACTGCTTGGCTTGGTGAGTGTAACTCCCACCTCAAACAAGCACAGGCTTTCCAGCAGGCTCTTTGCTGCCTTTCTCTGAATCAACCCCAGAGCAGAGACATTATCATAGAATGGGTTAGGCTGGAAGTGTGATAAATGATTTTTCCTCAAACAGGATTCCAATTAGAATTTACAATTTATTAAACGAGTAAAGACAAGCAAACAGCGCTGGGTGCACCGGGAGTCTCCGCTCAACCAAGGCACACACGTGCAAGTCCCGTTTTGGGGTTTATATCGCTTCTCCTAATACATATTCATACAAAGGTTGGCCTATGCTAATGATAGGCGTGTCTTCTTTGGCGCATGCCCTCCTCACCTTCTGGAATCTTCTATGAGTTTTCCTTGGCTGGCCCCCAGGACGAGCCCCGACTCCAGGCGTGCGCCCCACAGACCCCTCCCGTTCAGCACCATGCGGCCAGTAACAAAAAAAATGGTTTCCTTAGGGGTTCTTACAAGAAACAGAAACTACACACATACAATCCCGCTTCTCCCAAGCCCATGGTCATACAAGAATAAACAGAACAGTTAAAGATATTAACACGAATCAGATGAACACATTTCACAGAAGGGAACTTAAAGATCACCTAGTTCCAACCCCCTGCTGTGAGGAGGGACACCTCCCACCAGATCAGGTTGCTCAAAGCCCCATCCAGCCTGGTCTTGATACCTCCAGGGATGGGGCACCCACAGCTTCTCTGGGCAACCTGGGCCAGTGTCTCACCACCCTCACAGCAATTAAGTTCTTCCTAATATCTAATCTAAATCTCCGCTCTTTCAGTTTGAAGCCATTACCCCTCATCCTATCACTACATGCCCTCGTAAAAAGTTCCTCTCCAGCTCTCTTGTAGGCTCCTTCAGACACTGGAAGGCTGCTATAAGGTCTCCCTGAAGCCTTGTCTTCTCCCACCTGAACAACCCCAACCTCCAGCCTGTCCTCAGAGCAGAGGTGCTCCCAGCCCTCCGAGCATCTTTGTGGCCCTCATCACATCCCCCACAAAGCTACAAAGCCACCCCACACGCTCCGTCCTTCGGCCTTGTGCACCGTCTACAAATAACTCTGGGGAAGGTGCTGTGGCGCCGAGGCCGCTTCCTCTCCCATGCCCCGCGGGGCTCGACCGCTGCCCCCGGCCCTGCCTGGCTGAGGGGAGCCCCGTCCGGACAGCCCGGAGCCCGGCAGCCCCTGAACGGCCGCCCCGGAGAGCGGGACGGCGGGGAAACCACCTGCTCCGGCGAAGAGCCCGGTGCGCCGGGAGGCTCCCCAGGGATGGAGAGACGGCGGCACAGCCCGGGGGACGCGGCCGACCCCTCGCTCACCCCCACTTTCCTGTCAGAAGGGCGCCGGTCGGGCCCGGGGAGGCGAGGGGAGCAGGGCCGAGGGCGCTGCCGGTCGGAACCCCCTTACCTGGCTGCCCGCAGTCGGCGCAGCGGCTGTTGCCGGTGCCGTCGGCCTTCTGCAGCTCCAGCAGCAGCGAGTTGTTGCGGTCGCGGTCCATCACCGGTCCCGGGCGCGGAGCTCTGCGGGAGGGCTCGCCCCCGGAGCGGCGTGAGGAGAAGCGGGGAGGGCCGGGCAGCGCGGCGGACCCGCCCGTTACAGGGAGGTGAGCGTTTGCCTCGAGCGCCGAGCGGAGGTAGGAGAGGCCTCCCCTGAGGGGACGCGAGCTCCCGCTGAGGAAAAGGTGGCGGGTGACCAGGGGGTGAGGCGACAGGACGAGGGGGAACGGTTTTACACTGAAAGAGGGGAGATTGAGGGGGTCGTCCTGGGGGGGGAGCTAAGGAGAACTCATAGAAGATTCCAGAAGGTGAGGAGAGCATGCGCCAAAGAAGACACGCCTATCATTAGCATAGGCCAACCTTCGTATGAATATGTATTAGGAGAAGCGATATAAACCCCAAAACGGGACTTGCACGTGTGTGCCTTGGTTGAGCGGAGGCTCCCGGTGCACCCAGCGCTGTTTGCTTGTCTTTACTCATTTGGAATCCTGTTTGAGGAAAAATCATTTATCACAAAAGGTTTTCAAGGAGGTTAATTAAATCAGAAAAAGATTGAGGTATTCAAATATTTTTCATTTTAGTAGCTTCAAGCTAAACTTAATTTGCATAGTTAACTTGCATTACTATAGTGCACTATAACACACGACTCTTCTTTAAAGTTTATGCATAGTCTTGTAGCGTAGTTACTTATTTTGTAGATGAAAAATACTGCACTAGAGATGTATTACCAGCTGAAAGTCCTGACATGTTTTTTCCATCTTTTTAGGCACTAAATAGCATTATACCTTTTATTTATTTTTAAATGTTGTGAAGTCACAAAATAAACAGCAGCAGAACATCTGAAAAGTTGAGTTGTTCAACTACCTACATAAAAATCTCTCTTCAGAACTTACCCTTTAAGAACTGTTGCATACTAGAATGTAAACATGGATTTACTTTTCCCCAGAGATAATTTTCTTACAAGCCACACATTGAAGCTCTTTTGCTAGCTTAAGTTTTGTGGTGTCCTTACAAATCCTGTAAAATATAGAAGAGCATCTGTATGACCATTTGCAAAATGGTTATTTATATTCAAGACATAAATAAGCCCACCACCAATAAACCTCACCCCAGAATTGGTGTGTAGCCCCATGATGTTTCTTGCACTTTCCAATACTCAGACACATCCTTCCCAGCCCTCAAGATAGTCTTTGAAAAAGCCCTGAAACAGGCCAAGATGTGAGATAGTCCTGCTTGTAAAGAGATCCTTCCATCCTCCTACTTCTACTCAGCATTAGTATTAACACCCTGCACACGCCCAAGACTTAACTGTTTTTTTCTGTATTACTTATGGGATTGTAGAACAATGTCAACTTCATTTGCATTCTAGCAAGTAATAGTGGAATGACAATAAAAAAAAATGTTGAAACTTGACTGATATTTCAACACTAATAACATTTGTTCTGGTTTTTTTTGTATTTAACTTACTGGACACCTAGCAATAACTAGCGCTTAGATAGGGCGTAGAGTCATTGTGAAACTCTAGGGCTTTTTTTACTTCTGGTTTCACTGAATTCTTTGTTCAGGTAGATCACAGGCACGGGTTTTGTCTTTTTCCTTTCCAGGTATATCAGTAATTCTCAAGCTTCCTGAAGCTTATGCATATGTTTTGGAAGAAAAGGTGTTTTCTGCAGGAAAACATTTTGAATCAAAGGTGGGAGACTTCCACAAGATCCATTCTCGTTCTGCGGAACACTTCCTTTTAAGCTGAGTTAATCAAAATCAGTCCCAGATCTCTGTTCCTCAAGACTAGCCCATTCCTTGTAGAAACACACGCTTTCTTCGGGCATACAGAAGATGCTCATACTTGGTGCATAAAATGACAAAATTGCAAGGTTACCAGAGTTTAAATAAAATTATCACAAGTAGATTATCTTGCATTCAAACTATATTTCTGTGGTAATTGCACACAAGTTATCTTACCAAGAAGTGAAATACTTTAATTCCACATTACTGTTTGGACACTGTAGCCTGGAGATTCTGTAAAAAAAAATTCTTAAGGCAATTATTAGAACCAGAGAGATGACTTCAAAAGGAGGTAAGTTGTCTCCCATTGATTTCTACTTTATGTCTTTCAAATTACCCATGAATTCCCTAAAATAATATATAAATTTGAAACAGGCCCTATAAAGTAAGTCCCACTGCAACCTAGTTACATTGAGATTGCCTTTATAAAGCAGTGAACAGATACCTTTTTACTCTGCTGTTTAAAAAATTTTAATTTAAAAAAGTTTATTTGTACAAAAATGTACAGGAGTTGCTTAGACCATTGACACAACAATGCAACCCATCAAGATTTTAACAGCCACCACTTTATTTTATTCTTAGTTGATAATTCTGGGCTAGTGAGAGAGTAAACTGTAAAGATTATTATCTACAATGCAAAAGCTTAAAATAATTTACTGTTTTCATAAATATTTCTCATTCTTGAACATCTTTAAGACATGAAAAATACAAAATGAGAACAGAATGTACTGAAAAAATGCCCTTTCTTATTATTACAGAAACATTGAGGTAAGTGGAATACCACTGCATGGCACCAATCTGACTCCCTTTGGGGAACAGAAACAGTCCAACTGCAATATAAAGATAGAAATGTACATGGTTGAAATATTTCCAGTTAAAACACCCTTAAACATAATCTTTATGGACTGAAAACATTAAGTTTTAGGAGTCTTTTCATACAACAGAAATATTCAGAATTATAGCAAAGTCTCACAAATTTATTGTATAAAAACAGATTCAATCACAAATAATCAGGCTGAAGTCTTGTCAAATACAAAATGAAGTATAAAAATAGAACACAATATACAAGACTAGAAGTAGTTAAATATTACTAAAACCAAAGCAACACTGGAATATTTGTTATTTACAGAATCTTGCCTAATCTCTGAGTCTATCTTGAGCTACAGTAATAATTTCTCTACCTTTTTTAGGAGATTAACATGCAGATCTGACAGCTGTAAATAATGAAATTAAACCAATGTAAACAAATATATGTACATTGAGACATAGTGCTTTCTAAAGACTTCATTACCCAGTCGTTATAGTGAGGAGTTGGTTTTTAGTCATTTATATTTTAGAAGACTTGTTGCATCCTCTCTGTGCCCCCTCCCATTCCTGGTTATTTAATACTTTACTGCAAGTTCAGTAAGAAACAATCGTATTTTAATAAAACGGTCTCCTCAGAAAAAAAAGCAACTTTGCTGTTGAAGTTGTGACAGTTGCTTGTTACAAAAGGACTGCTTGGTATGTGATGCACAAACTACAGGGAAAGACAGGGTGAAGTAGTCCCCATTGATTAGTTTGTGCATTTAATACTATAAATGCACTTAGTGGACAAGCACCAAACCAACCCACATTTCAGTTGTGGAGAGCAGTATCATGACAATAGATATATACATTATTTTAAATACTTATAGAAATTTAATATACAAATGGCTCTGAATATACAATTAAAAAATGTGGTAAAAAAATACAAAAAAAAAAAAAAAATCAAATTATGGTGAGAAGACCACCATTAGGCACAAACTATTTCTGGTGTTAGCAATTTTAAGGGAAATCCAAAGACATACTGTTCATCATTTGCATGGGTATTTCGAGATGAATCCCTTCAAGATAATGCAAGAACCTATAAAAAGAAAAATAAAAAAGTGACATAAGGAGACAAAGTTATTTCTGAATATGAGGCAACACTTCTATTGTTTAGAGAGGCCAGCGTTCACCTTTCTTGTTCAGAATTATTTGACAAAATATTTTATTAAAATTCCTAACTACCTAGTATATTGAAATGTAGCAAGATTCAGGAAAACCAAGACTTACCTTCTTTTAGTCTTCCCTTGCTCTTTAAGCTTCTGAGATCTACAAATACTGCGAAGAGTGGGGAGGTATTCAAGTACGCTGGCTTGCTTATTACCCAGGTTTGAAGGACTTCTGGAAAATACAGTTCTGATGACTGCCAGCCTCTTCTGTGCTTTTTTGTGAATTCTAAAATGGAGAACAAAGCTTTATTGTTTCTTGTTTGAGAACGTGCAGCCCTGATTTTGTTCCTTTAAGATCAAATCCACTGGTTTAAAAACTCTGTTAAACATACTGATTTCCAAAACTGGATCCCAATGGATTAGACTCCTGCAGCTTCTGATTGTGTATTGCTAACGCAGCACCACAAAGCTGCACTCTGACAGGAGCACGAGGGACAGCAGTTTCTTTGGCCAATGCTCTCAGCTTAATTATGGAGTCTAATCTGGGGAGGTCTTCACAATCTAATTACGTACGTGAGATTTAGTACATCCACCAGACAGTGTAACCAAAAGCATCTTTGGTCTTCAAAAATAAAGAAACTGTCATGTGACACTTTTACTAGAATGTCAATATCAGATTCAATGTATAATTCATGATAGATATTGGCCAAACTTGGTCACAGATTAGATAGATCCATTTTGCTCCTCTGGGTATTGACTGACAGAAACAAGAGTCTAAACTATTTTCCTATTCAGACACTTGATTAGGTTTTATTCGCCTATTATGCCCATTTCAGGTATGACAACTTTTTTTAACAGAAAAACAATCTTTCATATACATGCTTGCTAGCAGCAATGTATTCTTTGATCTTCTGTAATATAATAAGGTTATTCTTCATTTGCATAAGTTACTACCAAAAAATTTGCATTAAAATTCCTCTGAATTTTGCTAGGTCTTCATCAAGCAAAACCTCTTGCATTTAATATGGGCTCAATATGACCAGGCACTGGATGAAAAATCTGCATGTCTAGTACTTGCAGAATCCATTTCAGTCCATCTGTCTGTCTTGAAAAAGCCATTCCTTTAGGTTTCTAGTATTGGGGTGGTGGTGATATTTGTCCGTTTTTAAAGTAAATAGACGAGATTAAGGCTACCATTCTTGAACAATGTTGTAATCAAGCAATTCAAACAAGAAAAGACAGTTTTTGTAGAGATTGCCAAG